CTTTCTGTAGCTCCTCACTCACCTAATCAGTTCATTCAGTGCACCTGCCAGTCACACTCAGCTCATTACTCTCACCTGCTCACTCTGCCTCTTCACTATTTAAACCCCTGCTGCACACACACCCACTGCCAGGTCATTGTTTGTTTTCCGACCTACCCGCCCGTTTTGCTCGTCCTGTTCCCGGTTTTCCAGTCTGCCTGTTCTGCCTTTTCCTGCCGGATTTTCCCCCTCGTCTTTTGTCTTGTCCCTGGATTTCCTGTTTGTTTTTGGTTGTCATTAAAACCTTTTTCACTACACCTGACTGTCTGCGTTTGAGTTCTCACCATACCCCGTGACAGAATGATCTGGCCCAAGATGGACTCAGCAGACCACGGTATGGAGTGTCGTCTCCCCGACTGGTATGAACAGTTCATGGGAACCCATCTGGCCTTTGGAGAACCTTGAAGTGTCCAGAAGGCAGACCGTGACCTAATGGACATCCCGGTCAAACCTCGAAGGAGACAGAGGCAGAGGAAGGGCCAGACTCCCTCTCCCGCTGGGCCGCAGCCGACTCCAGCTCCCTGTGTCCGGTCGGCGATCCAGCTGACTCCAGCTGTCGCCTCGGAGCAGCAGCTACCTCCAGTCCCGGCCGCCGCCGTCTCCGGAGAGTCGGCCTATGGACTCCGGTTGCCCGGAGCCCCATCTCCGAGAGTCGGAGACCTGTTCCCCGTCTGATCTCCAGCCCCTGGAGACCTGTTCCCCGTCTGATCTCCAGCCCCTGGAGACCTGTTCCCCATCTGATCTCCAGCCCCTGGAGACCTGTTCCCCGTCTGATCTCCAGCCCCTGGAGACCTGTTCCCCGTCTGATCTCCAGCCCCTGGAGACCTGTTCCCCGTCTCTCGAGTGCAGTCCCCCTCCTGGTTCCCAGTCCCCCTCCTGGTTCCCAGGCTCTCGAGTGCAGTCCCCCTGACCCCCCAGTCTCTAGAGTTCCGTCCTCCTGACCCCCAGTCTCCCCAGTTTGCCAGGCCGGCCGTCCCTCCTCCGGACCCCCTCCATCCACCCGGTTGTGGACTCTGACTCTCGGCCTCGGAGGAGTTATTCCCTTCACTGAAAGTGGAGCTATTTATTACATGCTACAGTCTCTGTTATTTTGTAATACCATTTAAACAGTTCTTTTCCTTTTTCCTTCGATTTCTTGATGACTCACGTCATTTTAAGCCCTATGCTGTGTGTTTAAAAGAGTCTGTCTGAAGCAATTCATATTAGTTAATGTGGTTATGCTTGGAGTCAGTGGTATTCTTGTTTGGTATAATAGCTCAACACAGACTAGACAAAAACAAAATTCAGCACAACACCTTTACTGTGGTTTGTGTTGGGATTTTCACGAAAGTCCCGGGGCTACTTTGAGAAAAAAAAAGCCAGATGAACATATTTTCCAACTTATGTAAGCTCTTCCAGGGCAAGAACTACTTGTGTTATATATTAGTTATACCCCACATGGCGTCTTGGTGTTAGCCATTTGAAAGGTTACACCGGTGATGAGAATCCTTGACATTTTTAGGGAGAGCTGCAGGACAACTGTCCGCATATTTCTAAAAGACAAAAGGCCCTGCTCTTGTAGCTACAGCTCATCTAGAACAACCACAGTGTCAAATTGACAGAAGGCTGCCTCCCACACCGAGTCATGTTCTCCCAGCTGGCAATGGGTAAAATGGTCAGATAAGGGAGTTATAAAAAAAAACTCAGTGAAGGCCATCTTTAAAGAAAAGTTAAGATCTGTACTCAACCTTATGAGAACCCTCAGATCCACTGTAATGATCAGTGTCAAACCAAGTTCACAACATCAAGGACACAGCACTAGCAAGGGAATAACCCAGACTTACAAATGTCACTGCTGTGTGGACAGATGTTCATGTAAATGTGCATGCGCTATATGTCTTTGGACTGGCTCTCCGAGTCACTTGTCAGCCGTTTTTATGAGCCGTTAAGCCTCTTCAGAGTTGACTGATTGCTTGACTCCCGGTCAAAGACGTGCTGTAGGGAAGTGAAGAAGAGTGCACGTGGCACGCATCAAAGACATGATGTAAGGGGCAGGGCAGTGGTGTAAATACATACAAACTGTAAATCTCTTTTAAAAAAAGAAGACTCATCTAAGCCTTTAGCTGGCGTTTGAGGGAGGAGGCTCAGGTGAGGATTAACTCATAACTTGTGTGGGCGTTCACTGTATCACCATGTCCCTCAACATCCAGAACATCAACACCCCGAGCTGCATTCACTTTGCCTCTTCCTGCCACCTGTTAATTACCTGCCCAAAATTGTATGATTGATGTATAATTGCCCAAATATATAAAATGGACATGTGTTCATAAATCGATAAGCAATTATAAAGCTAAAAACAAACATAAACATAATCCTCTCACAGAGCACCTTTTTAAAGAGGCACTTGAACAGGTTAATCATGTACTGACATAAAGTTGGGTGATTTGCAAGAGACGATTTTAAAATTCATAATAGAAATTGAAGCAGATGAGGCTAAATTATCCTGACTTTAACTATCAGTCAAACTCCTAAACTTCAGAGTCATGCATTTCCCATAATGCAACTCAAAAGCATATTTTGTCTGAACCTCCTCACTTGTTATGTCATCATGTCCCTCAAACTCCCTGACTTTGATTCTCCTTCCACATGCTTGAGTTTTAACAAGCTACGCCCTGCTCATGAGAAATAATCTGACTCTTGTGTAAAACTGGCGGAGTGCCCCCTGAACATCGGTTGCCAGCCGCTTTTGAATGGAGAGAAAAAGAAGAACCACACATGACTTAGTTAGCGGTTTTCAGTAGCAGTCAGGTCAGTTCGACATCTGACCTGCGAAGTTATTAGGTTCTCGATTCATTCATTGAAAAGATGTTTCCATTATTTTGTCCCCCAGCAGTTGGCTTCATTTGTAATCGTTTTAAATGGATCCATTGACGATGGGTTGAGTTGTGATCTTTAAAGTTTCACTCAAACTCTCTTCCTGTTTGAGTTGAGAAAACATGAGAAGCTTTGAGGTATTGGATCCAGTAGTACGGGTTACACGAAGCTTTTTGAAATGTTTAAGCCGGAACTCTGTGTGTGTCTGTCATCGGGGGCAAAGTGGTCCTGGATGCGACTACTGTGGCAGGAACTACCACAGACGCGGGTTGGAGAGTACTTGCTGTTTATATTTCTGTCTGTCTCCGGACAGATTTTGTCCCCGTGATTGCGTCACGGGAATCACGTGACGCAATTGAGATCAAAATGAAGGCGGAGTTCAAAGATGGGAGTGGTCCAAGCAAGGGCGCCGGAAGTAGGAAGGGTAGGAAGTGGAGTAAGGACCCCCTCCCCCCCTTTTTGTTTTGTGGCTGTAAAACGGTTCTTAGTTTCAGGACATTGACAACAGAAAGAATCTCTGGTTTGTAGAAATTATAGCATCTGTTTATAGTCAAGACCGGGACCAAAGCATTGGCACGACATCTCACTGATTTCGTAGTTCCAATCCCATTTCCCATCCCACAATAATTCTTTCAGAAGATTACATCATGATGATGAATTATATATATGTATCAATCATTATTTAAACATCATTTTTTAGGTCTTGATATTGACATATTGACTGCACCCTGCTGGGTTTCAGCTTCTCAGGGATCCCTTGTTGAGCCTCAGTCAGGCTTGAAGCTTCAGTCATCGTGAATCATGTGACGCGATAGTCTTTTGAAACAAGCATGTGACACACTGTATCGAGCAGTACATTTTCAAGAGGTGAAACAAGTGTCGGCGCCTCAGCTCGCCCTTGTGTATAGAGCACCGTGAAGCAGCCAACGTGGCTGTGTGTGTGCGGTTCTGGCCGAACTGCTCACTTGATTTCACGGTCGTGTCCGCGGCTGCCAAGAGCTGCAGACCAGCAAATCCTCCTACGATTCACAAGCACAAACATGTCTACAAAACAGGGAACACACCACGAGATGGAGGAGAATCGCTATTTCAGCAGTTCATTCAAAATGTCTTATTTAGTAAAAGGAAAGGTCTGCTGCTGTTGGTCCTCTATAGCCTACACTTTACTGCTTTCTGAACTTTGGGGAAATCTGAAGACCAAAAGGATACACAAGATGTCTTGAATATTCAGATGTGCTTTCATGGTGCAGTGGTCACATCCACAAATGACGGAAGAAAACAGCTACTTGTGATATTGTCACAGTGTAGAAATGTTATCCGATCCAGGCTTTCTTAAATGCACACCTCAGCTGTTTTGAGCCCTCGATAGCGTCACCACCGTGCAAGGTATGGTCACCAAACTGTACGGGTGTGTAGTTGAAGTCAAAATGAAGGCAGCGTTCAAAGATTGGTGTGGTTCGAGCAAGGCTGCCTGAAGAAAGGGGGTAGGGTAGTGGGGAATGAGCCATTGCCCCCCCCACCACACACACTTTACACCCCTGGCCCAATTTGGTGTTGCGGCTGTTGTGATCCCATCGCAAGATGGTCTCTAGTTCATGATTAAGCACTCGACTCCATGGTATTCCTCAAACTATGTGTTTAACAATATCCTGGTGGCAAAATGTGAAAAATGATAAAGCGTACTTTTTTTCTTCTGATTTTCTCTAAGAAGTTAAAATGGTCGTTTGGGACCCGTGGCATGCAGCTGATGTTTTCCTGCTTGGCCTCATGATGGCGCTGTTGTCTCACTGTGCAGGATGATGAAACAGTTTATGTACATTATCTTACTGTCACAGTATTGATGGTGCAGCACCTGCCAGGTTCAGTGCAGAGCAGCCTTTGTTTGATGGTGCAGGGTTTTGATGACAGCGGCTCTGGGAATGAAGATGTAGGCTCCCCGAGTCCTCTGACGATGAGCAATTCATTCTTGTGTCACTTAGGAATCCTTTAAAAGCTGGAGAGTGAGAGTGAGGAAACTATAACTCTGATGACATGAGCTGTGAATGTCATAAACGTCAGGAAGGATGCTGTCCAAGTAGCAGTCCCAGGAGATGTTAGGACTAATGAGGGAACCTCATTGCATTTCTCAACTGGTTCCATCCTCACTGTTACACATGCAAATAGTTTTTCTGGCCATATTTTCAACTTGGGAAGCCAGAGGATCTAGCTTGAAGAAGAAAAAAAGAGAGGTGCCACAATGTTGAGAAAAGCCGATGGGTGCTCTAGAAGTCATTTAGAAATGTTTAAAAAGTTTCTCCCAGAAACAGAAATTCAACCCACAAAGCAACGCTTAAGGGGACACATCCCAGACAGTGCATCGCACAGCTCAGTCGGAGATGTTTTGTTGAACTAAATGCTGCCCATGTGTTGTCAAATTGCAATGGCAAATTCGTTTGTTCATGTCCGTTTGCATGGTGTTTTCTTAAAACGTAGTTTGGTCTGTGTGTAGCGTGGTGATTATTGTCTGATGACTGTAGGGGGGAAAGTTCCTGCGTTTTCCAGATAGGCTACAAAAGTCCTCCGCTGAATTCACTTCTCATCAAAACCAACCCGAGCGCCTCTGACTCCGCGAATCTCCGTTTAGGAGGAGTTTGTGACTCCTGTAGCTCAGGACCTCTACCAACAGGCTCTGCGCGAGAGTTGCAGCAGAAACATTTGTCCTGCAAACTTCGGTCTCTAGGCCGAGTATACACTTTTTTCTTTTTGGGAATTGAGCCAAACTAACAGTTATCTCGGAGCAAAATTTGGTCAGGGGGGGGGGGGGGAGAAAATAAAAAGGGGCGACGCCGCGAGCGCTCCCAGCATGGCGCTAAAAACTGACGAAAGTCGGGTGTATGTTACCAAAACCTCAAAGGGAAACGGCGTCGGCAGGCTGAAAGAGCGCAACAATGCAGACGCAAACATTTTTGGCTCCGGACATGTTGATCTGCTAGCCCGTGACATGGACAGACCCCGCTGTCAGACAGCTGCCGCTCCTCAGGAGGAGTTATTAGACGCTGACTGCCGTGTGGGCGACAGTCGCTCTTTTTCTGCCTGCGCCACAATCTCGGAAACAGCCAGGGAGCTCTGCAAAGCTGTGTCCGTGTCGCTGGGACTGGCCATGGAGTCCAATGACACGAGCGACGTGGATGCCGCTCTCCCCCCGTGCGCCGCCGCCAATGACCAAATGCGCGGGGAGTATTTGTACATGCCTCGTAACTGTCCCGGAGCTCACGGCGCCGTCACCGAGTACAAGTGCCCCGAACGAGACGACCGGCCCCCGCACGACCAGAGGCAACTGGTGGAGATGTTCAAAAGTTCCGAGACGGCCGCGCGTCTCCAACACCTCGCCCCGGATCGGACATCTGTGCATGAGCAAAACTTCGCACTGTGCAAGTCCGATGACATAACTTCAGAAGAGAGAGAGCATCTGGACACAGCGCGCGCTGCCTCTTGCCCCTATGCGTCATCCGCGCCAGGTAGCGTATTGGCACACTACGGTCAGAATGCCGGGGAGAGACCGTGCCGGGTCTACGAGCCCCCCGATGAGGCGACGGACTTCGGAGACGCCATGGAGAACAACTTCAGCGGTTATCAGCCGGAACAATACAGCGTCAAAGTGAAGTGCGAGGACGGCGAGTCTGCCGGGGCATCGTGGGGCAGTAATTACCACCCTAATGAGAAGTACAACTCTCAGTGTTGGGGCTCGAGGCAGTGCATGAATGCGCACAGCACGGAGACCACCACCGCGTTCATATGTAATCCATATGAGAGGAGCGTCGTGCGTCCCGAGCAGTGGTACCCCGGCGGGATGCTGAGGCCGCCTTATCCCAACTCCAACTACGTGAAGACCGAAGTCGGCGAGTGGCTGGATGTCGCCTACAATGACCCCAGGTAAGCTAAAATAATAATTGTGATGATAATAATAATAATAATAATTTGTGTCATGTGATGACGAAGCTGAAATGTTTAGGGAGCAGAGAAGGGGTGAGTTTGCTCTGACTTCTAGACGATATTGCGGCTAAATGTTGACTCTGATTCAAGTTTAATGCTGCAGGTGTCCACTGTGACCACAGTCTGACCTTAATGTGACCACAGGCACGAGCGTTAAGAGGCTGGCATCGGTGGATAAACTCCCACATAGATTAGATGTTTTTACTCTGCGGTAAGGGCAAACAACACTTCATCATAATATAACGCCAGCTTCATAATAGATATAGATGGATTTATTCTCATTCAGCGGTTTTATTTATTTCTCGCAGACAGCTGTTTAAGGTCTTAATGTTTCTTTACATTGAAAGGAATATGTTTATTTTAAACTTCTTTTTTTTTTTTGGTCAGAAACCAAATGTCATCCTGCACACGTTTTCTACTGCTTAGACAAAAAGCGTACAAAAGAGTACTTTATGACATTATCAGGCTACTTTTAATAAATGCTTTGCAAACTAAAACTCAACTGAGGTTGCACTGCATTTTGAAACAGACGTAGGAATGTTTGTCTGGTTCACATCCTTGACTTAGATTCATGTGCAACCCTGAGCAGATTTTATGTTATTTAAAATATCACTGACAAACTTTTAAAACAAAGTTCCTTTAGATTACAGGTGAGTGGAAGCAACCCTCGTTAAAATACGTTTTCCACTTTCCTTTTAATTTGAGTAATCTCCCATGGTAAAGTCATTATAAAGTTTTATTAATGTCCATTAATAAATTTAAAATAATTAATGTCCATTAATTATTTAAAATAACAAAACAAAACGATAAATATACAGATAAAGTAATAATATCTTTAAGATTTGTTAATAATCAAATTCATAAACTTCTGTTCAAGAACAAATTTTGGAGTCTGTCATCAAACATAAAACAAATATAATTGTCAGTGTTTTGTCTGAGGCACCTGCTCATAACATCCACGTGAAAAACGAATGAAGAAAGTATTTCTGAATGTACTCTGTGAAAACAATGTGTATCACTGGAAAGCGGCTTAATCACAAATCTAGTTTTCCTGTGAGAAACTATCACCACTGAATTTGGTAATTCCAGCAAAATAATGTTTGACTTCAATTTGTGTCTAAGCGGAGGGAAACGTTTATAGTTCTGACAATTTCAGACGCTTGTCAATTTTACAAATGTTTCCAAAGCTGTCAGGTTTTTGTTTTGTTCGTGTTGGGGTCGACGATTTGCTTGGTCTACTAAATGAGAGTGTGGCCTTCAGGATGACAAAGCACACAGAGTGGACATGTTAACTGACAGCCACACGCTACCATGTGTACGGCTAACTGACGTCATCATACCTTTTCTCTGACCGGCTGTGATTGATTGAGAACTTGACACTAATCAGCTCGGTGCATTACTGTGTGTGTGTGTGTTACTAAATTAGAAATGTACGAACAAGGAATATAGATGAAGCAGTCATAGGTGGTGTTGTTGTTTTTAAATTAATTATTGAATTTCAGATTCTCAAAACCAGATAATAGAAAACCAAACAACACAATCCCTGAACAACAGCTGACGTAATACAGACTGTAATACTAAAATAAAAATAAGTGAGAATTTACTAATATTTAAATATAAATAAAAGCAAATAGACAATAACAAAATCACCAATAAACTAAGGTAAATCAAAATTACAGCATTAAAGGGAAACACGAGGGGAATAGGTAAAACAAATGTAACTAAACGATATCAACATGAAACATCCCCAGTTGATTACTTACATCATGACAAGTATATCTTATATTACAAGTTTCTGAAAATATGAAAATATGCAAATGAGTGCGAATTTGCATACATTTCCAAAACAGAAATCTGAACATTTAATAAAGCCAGGTGCAAAAATCTTTTGAAAATAAAATCATTTTGTTCTCTTTGTATCACTTCATAATGAGAAACACGACAGACATTAAATAAATACATTGTGGCCATGTTTTTAGGAATAAACTGTTCTATAAATCTGTCTATGAATGATTTATGAACAAAAGCCTCAGTGAAGATCTTCAAAATATAGATAGGAAGGAGCTCTTGGTGAAGAAGAGTATATTTATGGCTCAGACTATGAGGGAAAACGGCTTTTAAAAGTGTGTATTGGTAATGCACTACAATTTGGAAGACGCTACAGGAGTAGGGTGAAAAAATGAACTAATAGAACTCACCATGAAACTTCCCCAGTTAATTACATGCATTACGTTAAGACAATAACTTTTATTGTTTTACATGTTTTCTTAAATGCTATGTTTAAATGTGCAATTAAAGCATTATGTAATGCAAACGTTTGGTAAATTTATGAGAATTGTTTACAGACTCAAATAGTCAAAGTAGTAAAATAAACACCTAAATGTGTATTGTTGATATTTTCTTTCCACTCGTCTGAGAGAAGACATGTCATAGCAGCAAAATCTTAAAAAAGACCAGTGTGTGAAAACATTTTTTTTTATGCCTGTAGTGTCTAACTTTACATGTTAAGTAAATGTGTCCGATGAAAACTGTGACACTGTTAACTGTCCACTCACAGTCCTAAAAGGGGGAATGTTGAAATAGTCTCCATATGTTTCCTTCTGCTGCGCCATCGAACACATCCACCCTCTGGCAGGCATGGCAGCCTCAATAACAGCTGTCACTACAGAGATCTGTGTGTGTCTGCAAATACACATGGCAACATGAGTCAACTATCAATACAAGCGCGCCCCGTGTGCTCTATGAGCCGTGCACTAAACTAAATCATTCAACCTAATGCCAGAAAGGTGTGTTCACTGGTTCCCCTGTAGTGAGGGAAACTGCAGAAACGTTCTCGTGTTATTATTGTATTTCTCAAACTAATTTATTAGGCTATAGGATTATTTCTTAAAAGCCGCCACCATGTGCAGGTCTGAGATCAATTCCTGGAATAAAGTTTTCCATTTTGTCATTCTCATGTGTTTATTAAGCATAATACTTTTGATCAGTGGCGTTCCTAAATGTGAAACCAGTGAAACCAGTTGCAGTATCCCAAACAAGGAGCTGCTCCCAAACACGTGGATTTACATGCAGACCTACCGAGCTGTGCTCCGACTTCATCTGCTTCCAATCAAGAAGACATAGAGCCCTAAACATACTTTGCCTAATGGCAAAAGGTACATGCTGGTTTTATTTTTATGGTATTTTCCTTTATTTGAATCTTTGGACTGTAGGCAAAGATAGGAAACACTGGAAAATAGAGAGACGATTCATCTGTGGCTGAGGTCCCGTGCCAGACCTCGGTGTCAGTTCACAGGGTTTATGTGGTATTCAGTTTAGACTTCTAGGTTAGCCGGATGTCACCAAGTGCAAAAGCATAAAGTCATTAGAGCCCTGAGAGATCCAGCTTTCCTCTTTGTTTATCACCCCAAGTTCTTTGGCATGTCTTAGGAGGCAGGTTTTCTGAGTTATATTACTGTTGCTGAATATAACCCAGAGCAGGTCTTTGATCTTACCCTGTTCCAGATCTGAGCTTTACTCTGCGGAGTTATTAAGAAAGAGTCCTTGAAATCGCTGTACCTACGGGGATGCAGGTTTGCTTCAGCCTTATGTAACACTTTTTGTTGTAAGAAGACAACAACCCCCTGCATTTAGGCAGCTCTTAGCGCTTAGTACGGCCCTGAGCAGGTGGAGATGGCCCCATGGTATAAATACTGTGGGGCGTAATTGGTGAATGAGGAAGGTAATCCGGTGACATTCAGAGTTCCCAAGTAATGCAGTGAAGTGAGATGGGAGCAGGCTGAGCAAAATGGAAACAAGTGACCAATTTGTGCCTCGGTGTTATTGGCAGAACAATATATCAATGCAGGAGATAAATGTGCTTCAATTTTAACCGGTCTAAACGTGGAAAATCCTCAGCATGTAATTCACTATAGTAGAGTATTATTCATTTTGGCAGTGGTGGAATGTAACTAAGTAGTAGTAGTACTCTACTTCAGTTCTTCCATCTTATGCAGCTTTGTACTTATACATCACTTAATCTCACAGGCAATACTGTACTTTTTAATGCACATTGATCTGACAACTTTAGTCACTTTTCAGTAAATCATACCCCTCCTTTCCAGTGAAAACCATGTTTCTCCAAATTTAGTGATTTGGAATTTGTTTTTTTCTTGAAGGATCAAGTGTTCCTCAATGATTCTACCTCTTAAGATAAATAAACTATGTAAAACCCTTTTCAATTAGCTGGAAAACGATAGTCACAAAGGTGTTTTTCTGACTTTTTAGAGGTACGTTGTTCAGCTGAGCGACACTTTTCGAATATGATGCACTGCTTTAGATTAAACTACCCAATCATAAACATTTAGAGCAGTAAAATGTAACATACACATTACTCCAGCAGTAATATTAAGCCAGTTTACTGCACAATGGGATACTTTAAGTGCATTTTGCTGATAATACTTACATACTTGTACTTAAGGAAGACTTCGAAAACAGGCCTTTCAGACGTAGTGGAGTATTTTCACAGTGTGGTACTGCTGCTTTAACTTAAATCAAGGATCTGGAGAGTTCTTCCACCACTGTGTTTTTGGCCTTGTGTGGCAGTTGAACCGGCTCAGCTGGCTGATGGCGTATATGGCATGGCAGTCATGTAGCTGCAGCTTTGGTTGAATTTCGGGACTCTGGCCGACAGAGGGGCCACACTGGTCCATCTGTGTGAATTCTTCGAACAAAGACTTTTTTAATAGGATTGCTTTGCTGGCATGTGCTGTACTTTTAATTATCATGTTCACACAAACAGACAGAAGTGATGAATTTATCTTTAATCAACCAGATTTTAAGAGTTTTTTTTTTTTTTTTTTTTTTTTTGCAGAGAGAGGAGTGTGAAGTGAACCCTGTAACATCTGTGAGTGAAGTGAATTATGTCCAGAGTGTAGTGTGAGAGAAAATCCTGCTACAACCCATGAACAGAAATGTACAGTGAAGGAATTCAGTGAAGATAACTGGTCCGTATTGACATTTATGTCTTGTGACAGAGGAGCAACTGCATGCTGTTAGCATGTCATGAGTGAAAACAGATGTTTCTTCTGATTTAGCTGAAGCAACAACACGACACGGAGTTTCCAGACTCACAATTACTTCAACTTTGACATATTCATGGATGCATATTAGTCTAGCAAATTATACAGAGTAAAATCAAGCAAGCTGAAGCAAATCTGTGCAATGAAGTCATGTATTTCAAACTCCGTGTTGATATTTATCTGACCATCAATCCCCTCAGCTCTGAACTCCCCGTCTGAAGATCTGAGGCTGCAGAATAACTGATTCAAAAAGTTTTACTAATGCAAGCACACTGTTCTACTTTCAACTTGTTTTATCTGTTTTATTATTGTTTTATCTCGTATTATTTGCTGGGTATTTTATCCCATCTTACTTTTGTACTATTTAAATTGTCAGATTTTATTTAACTGCAGTCCTGGAATGTTTCCCACAAAATGCTTGAGTGCCAGTATAATGTAATAGAAGACATTTAGCTGGATAGGGGCAGTGACTTTATGTGATTCTGCAAAGTATTTCATTTTGTCTTGTGCATCTTATGTTTTGATATTTTTGTAATACAATTGTTCCTGAATACTTGCATGTATGCAATACGTCTGGTTTGTCTCGCTCTCCAAAGGTGTGAGTAAACAAGAATATGATCATGATCTACAGCAAAAGCATTCAAGCAAATCAGCTACTATGCAATATCAGAATCATCTCAAAGATGACAGAATAATCTGTATTTAAGACCGTATGTCAAAAAAAACGTTTAACCTCACAAGACGGAAAGAAGAAGAGTGAATGTGAAATCTTCCCCGAAGCCCTGACAGAATGAGATACATCGCATTTAAAAAGTGTAAGAAATGTAAACTATATACCAGGATCTTTCATCCCTGCATGCTTTTAAATCCAGGAACTTCCAGGTCACTGGACTAGTTAATCCTACATTCTCTTCACATAAATACCACACGTGACACGCGGTTTTCTTGTACGACACACACTGGAACGAAATCAATAATAGCGGACATTGAAAGTGAGCGTGGCTTACTTAAAGCTTTAAATACTGCAGTTCTATAGGTGAATATGGGTCAGCGCCCATTTTACCAATAAAAAGCCTCAGAGCGTTGCCATACAGATCTTGACGTGCACATTTTTTAACATTTATTGTTGATGGATCCTAAACCACATAAGAATTCTCGCTATTACAAAAAGTCCCTTTTCAAGTCACTATTCATTACATCCCTGATCTCTGATCTCACGCTAGTCTGGACATCAGTCTAAAGTCCATATAATACAGGTTTCAGAGCTAAGATTAATGTTATAAAGGAAATTGAATGTAAGATCTCCATTGTTTCATAGTGTTATATAGATAATAACTTAAATACTTGACGTTACTAGACATTTTTTTTCACTGTTCCCACTTGTCTGAATCATTTTCTTTCCTCTTGTCACCTAAACTCTACCGTGACACAGTTGAGCTTCATCCTTGTCTCTTTTACTGCGAAAACCTTGATATCTTAAGTTGCACGTCACTGAGGCAACGTTATGTCTGAACCTTTTCCAATCTCTCCGTTTTCAAGGCTGAAGCTGGGCGCCCATCGCGCCCCCACCCAACCCCTTGGCCACGGTGTTGGCGCTAAGATCTTTCCCACACTTTCTGTCATCACACTCTGTGTCCTCCTTAAATTGCTCACCGAGAGGCCGTAGCTCTGGGGAGTGAATAGTAAATGCTCTGTGGTTACAGTTTGGACAGTATTAAACCAGTAAAAAAATGATGGCTATACTGCGGTGTGTGCTCTCAAGGTTAGGCTTTAAAATGGGCTATTAGTTTCACAAGATAGTAAAAAACCAAGTGAAATACAGAAACAATGGATCGTAAAATTCAGTGCAGTGACCCAGCTGATGCATCCAAGCTGCGGAACATTAACATTGATTTCTAGTGAAGATAAATGGTGATATAATTTTTATTTAATACCAACAATCAAATGTTAGTCATAACCTTGTTTTTATGAGTGTGCTGTTCATCTATCCTGTTTCATATGTTTCGCTGCAGGTTCGAGACTGGCAGAGAGCACATGTTCCCCATGGAGTTCTTCTTTCCACCACAGAGGATGTGCCTGATTTGTTCAGACGAGGCATCTGGCTGCCATTACGGTGCGCTCACCTGTGGCAGCTGCAAGGTTTTCTTCAAAAGGGCTGCGGAAGGTAAAACTCAAGGGGGTAGGGGGGGGGGTCACTTGGGCCCTGAGTTGCCAGTAGTCAACAGCTAAACCCGCTGCCTTTCATTTGAGTTAAAACACTGATTCTGTACATCCAGTGTTTCTTACATTTTCAATAATTCAACAGATTGTTTATCTACAAGTAACCTCTGGTTTCTCTGTCCGGCTTAGGCAAACAGAAATACTTGTGCGCCAGCAAAAACGACTGCACCATCGATAAGCTAAGGAGGAAGAACTGTCCGTCTTGTCGGCTGAAGAAGTGTTTTGAAGCTGGAATGACTCTCGGAGGTAGGATGAATTAAGATACTAAAATCTGCTTTTAGAAGAAACAATTGTCGTTTATTTTATGTTTTTATTGAAGCGTTGCTAACCACCAACTATTTTGTAAGTATTACCATCAGTTGCATTTCACTTCAGACAAAGGATTTGTGCCGTAATATACCTTAAAATACATACATCTGTGCAGCATGGACTACAATAAACACTTTGCACTACACACTGTATGAACAAAGCACACTACAGAGAAAGTGAAGTCCTAAAAGTGGTTTCCCAGGACCAAGTACTTTATTCTCTCTGCACTGCATATCCTAGCTGGCTCTCTTCAATTGCAGCATCATCACAATAGGGGATGTTACTGATAATCAAGCCCCTGGCTGAGCTGCCATGCAATTTAGACCTATTCCATTCACTTCTCCTTACTGTCACCCACACCTGTTCGTCATATTAGGCTGTAAAGATTGACATGTAGTGGACTAATTTTAGTCTTGTGTTCAATTTTCACTCTCTTCCATTTTTCTCATTCTGTTAACGGTGAAAATTGTACTCGAAGCACAAAGCTGACATGAGACATGTGAATTAAAGCAGCAGACACGCTGGTAATTTTGCCACCAGTCACTGACAAATCCATGGAGGGAAAATGTGATCTAATGCTGCGATTGTAAGTGAAAAGGCACACCTTTTCTAGTTGTGGCTTTAAAGAGCCTCCTTTCACAGACGTTCTCTTCCTGGACATGTAATTCACTCGCTGCATTTCACAGGAAAATTTATGACAATCATTTTTAGAAGTGGAGGCAAAAAAATGATGCTTATTATCAGAGAGGGTTTTTACTCAAAATACTATAAAAAACAAATTTAAGCAGGAAGGTTTCTGGTTTGACTCACTGGATTTTTATGTATCAATTAAACTCTAAACTTTGTATCATTAGATCAGATCATATTCTGTCTGTAGTTTCTCTCCTCGTAGTTTGGAAGGTCTAAAGAGGGAGCAAAGAAATCTTTGGCATCTGGTCAATATTGAAAAGCCCAGTTATTATAAATTGCTCAAAGATTTCATTTTTTATAATTTGAATTCCATATTATTCCTGGAATGCTAATTACATCCACAAATGGAAGTTACGCAGGGAGGCTGCTGTCACCGAACCATGATAGCTGTATCCTTCTGCAGCGACCTGAAGGAAGCTCGCTGCACATCGGAACTAAAGGCTTCTTGTGTTGACATGCAAATAGAGCTCACAGATTTTATCATACTAAAACCTTTTACAGTTTATGAGCTCAAGCCCTGAATCGCAGAACAATTTGTGTCTCTAACCCAAAGTGTGCTTGACATGCGTCCAAAGCCACTTCAGTTTCCGTTTCACCACCAGCGAGTGAGAGTTGCTTAACACGAGCCGCCGTTCTCCTCCAACTTCTCAGTGTGTGCATTGTCAGTTTAAATGTATTACTCATTCAAAAAAATGTTCTGCATTTCAGTAATGGTAATTTATTTTCATCAAATGGTGAATGAACAACCACACTGAAGCTCTTCAGGTCAGGTCCAGAGGATAGATGTATGTGGACTCAAACTCTTTTTTGATAAGCAGGTTTTATCATTGAAGGGCATGGTTCCGGATTGTTATTTGGGAATTAGTATATAGCTTTTAACTTGAAGTTAATTTATCCATCTCAACATAGCAGCAGAAATGTCCTTTTTCCTAGAAAACATCATCTGTGGGATCCCAAGTGATTCTAAACCAGCATGGAGGTCTCAAACCTGCAGCGTGTCCTCGTCTGTCCCAGTTAGTTATTTCTGAAAAATTCTACCGTCTCTAAATGCAAAGTGACAAGTGTTTTTTGCTTTTCTAAAGAAACTACAATTTGTGAATCCAACTAAATATTCTAACCTTTGATATTTAGTTTGAAGCGATAATTAACAGTTTTCTTAGCGTTTCCAGCCCTGATTTGTGTTATTTCATAGAAACTAATAAAACAATAATATATCCACAACAATAGGAGGAAGAAAGCGACAGGAGTCTTTGTGGAAGACTTTTTTACCAGAGCTCCCTCACATCTCTCTCTCTCTCTCTCTCTTTGAGTCAGACTCTCTGACACATTACTCCCTCAAACATAACTGACATCGGTGAGCTAATGATGTAATGACATCTACAACCTGGACACCAAAGTGAGAGTAAAGTGGGATCTGCAAAGGAACACATTACAAAAATGGCATTTCAAGAGGAGCAAAACGTGCTAAAGTGACCTTCGAGTTTTATGTGCAATCAGGTTATCCTGGCAAGCTAAAATGGTAGTCGAGCTAAAGATGGTGATTATAATGGGGATGAGACGGATAATGACACAGAGGGAAGTGGTCCACAAAATGTGAGTATATTGAGGTGAAAATGTCCAATAAATTTTACATGTGCAATTTGAGTTGAGTGAAAATAGGCTTGTAACGGACGCGTCTGCAGCTTATTCACCGGAGGTCAGTTTCAGCTGGAAACAGTCGACGATACCGACGCCACAGCTCAGTGTGCTGGTCAATCAACGAAGTTAACAACGGCTTGACTAATTAATTGTTCTGTCTGTGTAACAGACTGCGCTTGAATCCGTCGTTTTGGATGTCAACCGCCTATTTATATTGGCTTCAACAACCCACCTTATTTACACTGTACTCTGCAAAGATCAGACGCCTGCCTGTGTCACAACTGAGAATCCTGGGAAAGGAATTTTTAATTAACCATTTTTATTTGAGATGTTTGTTGTCAGATCAGACATAGAAATGTGAGACTTGCCAATTATCCTTCTTATATAATCTACAATTGTCTTTCAACCCCGCTGCTCTTGAGAGAGACTTAAGTCTTGTCTATAACAGGCAATTCAATATTTATCCAAGTGAACGAGAAAGCCAGGCTGCAGTTTTAATGAGACATCCTCGACACAGAAGCTGCAAGAGGCAATTGCATTACGATTAATTCCATTTTAACTGTCAGTCAACGTTGGTATAATTGATTCAAGAAATCATTTCAAAGAGCATATCCGTTTTAGCAGATTGTAACAAAAGTTAAACACAAGTGAACAGCAGACATGTCTGTTCCTTAATGCAGTCATTTCTCAGCACATAGTCCCTATATATATGACAGATATATTATACAGTATATATATATATATATATATATATACTGTGTATATATCTGTCAGTCACTCCAGCTCAGCCTGTCGTCCTGAAATAACAGGCTGTGTTGAAGCTTAACTGCCCACAGTTCTTTAACTTGTGGAAATAAATCAGTCAGTTATTGAGTGCAGTGAATGGTGGTGGTCTTAAACCATGACTGTTAAAGAACCAAATGTATTTGGCAGCTGTTTAGCGGAATAAAATCATTCCATTTTGGTTGTATCACTACTTACTGTACATGGCAATCTACTCCAGCAAATCAAAGACCTGGCTCCCATTCAGTTCCTAAGTGCAGGTTGTCATATGGAGCAGCTGCCTCGGGACATTCAGCATTAGTGGGGAAATAAATTGCAGCCTTTTCATTGCTCAAGATGAGCAAGTTGTTTTTTCAAACATATGGTACTTGTTATTTTTTTTGTTGTTGTCTCTTATTCCCTATATGCTTTGCAGTGTGTAGGGAAACATATGTGTAATGCAAACATGCAGGATTTAGTGAGTGGTGTAGTTCAGAGATATACTTTCAACGCTCTGCAAAACCTTCTTGGGAGGAAACATGATATATGGGGGGGGGGGGGGCATAATTCATACATTGAAATCACCAGCGAGCTCTCATACAAGATGACCAGAAGGCTTTCCAGCAGATGAGGCTCTTCTCTTCAGAGAGTTTTCTTTCGAATGGAATATGAGTCAACATCTTCGACGCTATTAGTAGATCATTAGTAGATTAGTAGAATAAATTGCTATTTCCCTCAAAAGGTTACTTAAAACCTACAGTTGCGCTATGAATCAGATGTTTCGTAAAACAGAATTACTTTTAGTCTATGTACTGTTCAGATTGTGCTATTTAGCAATGATGACCTGAGAGGACGTAAGTTATTGATTATCAATCAAAAGTTCAGTGCTGACAAATGCATTCACTAGTATCTGCGATTGTGATTATTTTCTGAAAGGGAAACCTTTTTCTTCCATCACTGGAGCATCGGCAAATCATTCTGCACATCTAGCTGTAATGGATCTTACGAGCAAGCAGAAGATCCATCATGGCTCCAGACACGAGTTTTTAGAGCACAGTTGCTCAAGTTGCGTCCCGCGGGCCAATGGCGGCCCACAGAAACATTTTGTGAGGCCCCTGAATGTGACATGAAATGCATGCATGCATATTTGAATCACTTACAGTCACTCCACTTTCAAGAGCCTACACTTAATACACTACTCGACTTGTGCGTAAAACTGCGACCTCGTAACAAACGTCTGTCAGGTTAGGGATGACATCTTAGCAACTATAGTGGCACTATAGTGGAATTATGTTTTGTCAACAATGCTAGTGCTGGTAAAGACAGTTAATGCTTTCAGAGGACAACTCTGCAGTTTAGCTTGGAAGTAAGAGAAAAAGGATATAGAAGCTGTGTGGTTGAGGAGAAAAGCATTTGTCAGGAATAATAGATCAACTCGTCTGACCTCGGAGGACAGATAAAGTGATCTGCTTTATCTGCAAATGGGGGAATTTAGCGCTCAAGGAATTTAATGTTCAACACCGTTTTGAGACTAATCACAAATCCTACGACTTCCTGTGCAGCCCTCAATCTCAAAAATATGCTGGCTCTCTATGTTGGCACTCCGTCTTCAAAACTTTGAGAACCCCTAATTTAGAGGACAACTGGATTCGTCAGTCAAAGTCAATCAAATGTAGTAATTTAGGATCATTTGCAAAACACATGCAGCTCTGGTGGATTGGAGATTAATGACTAGGCTTGCTTGTTAACTGGTTGGGTGATGAAATAGCATAAACAAAATAACAAATGAATGGATTCTTAATTTCTTGCTTTTGTTTGTAGCCCGTAAACTGAAGAAGATTGGACAACAGAAAAACCCTGAGGAGGAACATCCTCTGAAGGACCCTTCAGAAGTCATCCAGAATTTCTCTCCTAAGTCAGGCCTGAACTTCAACTCCCAAATGGTCTTCCTCAACATCCTGGAGTCCATTGAACCCGAGGTGGTGAACGCAGGGCACGACTACGGCCAACCGGACTCGGCTGCCACGCTGCTCACCAGCCTCAACGAGCTGGGAGAGAGACAACTGGTCAAAGTGGTCAAATGGGCAAAAGGATTGCCAGGTAGGAACCTATTTGAGGTCTTTGAAGCAGTGTGGCTTTTTGGCTGCTAAATGCTTCGCTGTGTTCGCCAGCTACTCGCTAACTGTGTCTATCGGCCGTTTGGTGCTGGGCAGGCTTATGACGCTGTCTGAAAACTGCCTTGATCAAAGCAGTGAGAGTGAATCAAAACAGCAATGCTGCGAACAATAAAACCAAAACAATGAGCTGAAAGATGCTTAAAAGGCTCCATAGAGCTGAGGGGATTTGCAGAGTCGGGGGATAATTCTCTGTGGGTTTATCACTGCTTGTGTGTGACCCCTTTCACACACAAGTGGTTATTTGATCTGTTGTTAATGTAAATATCCTGATTATAGCAGCTTTAGATTCTGATGATAAGCAAATATGGTTCCATCTCATATGAGCCAACCTTTACAATGTTTGTGTCTTGGCCGTGCATGGGTCATATGATGCAGCTTCATTCTGACCAATGATACTTAAATTTAGGAGGTTATTTTAATGTTTCACAGGATTGTACACAATTAAGAGAATTGTGTTCTCATTAGAGCAATATTCCTCATCTGTGTAAAAAGCTTCCAGATCATAGGTGTTTAATACAAACACAGTAATTGAGTTATTTATTTTTCTTACAAAATATTTCCTAACATTAAACCAATGACTCTTAAAAATAGATAATTCTGAGGACCAGTCTTTAAAAATGTAATATCTACACCAAGATAAATCTCAATATATCATTTGTAATTCAGACAAACCTGATGACTATTAAGGGGGTTTTAATAAATGAATTGGTCCTGTGTCATTGCAAGACACGGCCATGTAAAGCTGTGTATCATCAGTATCGGTATCTTACAGTTTATCATCTATAGAAACAAATATTTACAACTGTCTGCCAGAGAGATGAAGTAGGAGGCAGACCAATTAAATGCCATATGCCATATGTCAAATACGTGTTGTATCCAATGATGCTGAATCTTTCTCCTTAGGTTTCAGAAATCTCCATATGGACGACCAAATGACTGTCATTCAACACTCATGGATGGGGGTGATGGTGTTTGCCCTCGGATGGAGGTCTTACAAGAACGTCAACGGTCGGATGCTTTACTTCGCCCCGGATCTTGTGTTCAATGAGTATGTACAACTCTGAAGTCTTGAATTCAACTGTGTTCTCTAAAATGATTTCATCAGTGGGTGACCAACATGCTGTGCTCCTCATTTCATTTTGAGATCAGCCCCAGCGAGTGAGTTGGCGCTGTCGTACATAATACAGACGCATCAGTTTCTCTCTGTCTTCATCTCTTTCTCTCTCTCTTCCATTTCTCAAAACACAAAGACGTCTCTAACATTTTTTGGCTGGCTTTTTTGGATCATGTTCATCCAATTCCCGCCGTAGGTGTTCTTTTGTCAATGTGAGATTAAAGGGAGGAACGCTCACAGCCCTGGTGAAGCTTATTCAGCTCTGAATATTACTCATGACAGACAACAGTGGTTTGGTCTGTGTGAGTGTTAGTGAGGAATATTAATGGTCTTATTTAGTCCCATCAAATGTTTACTGCCATAGATCTGTGGGAGTAGAAGTTGATCTTTAAATCAATAATTATTCCTTTAAAAGCTCAAGTATTTTGTGTGTTGTGTAAACCGTTGATACATGGTATGCCGGGTTTTTTACACATTATAATTGTGTAGTTTATAACAGCAGCACTATTTAAGCTATACTTGCATGCATTCATTGTTTATGTCTACTTTATGTGAAATGCTGTTCATCTACAGTAACCAAACGAATGTATTAAATTCAGAGGTTTGTTGCTGATAAATACTGCCTGTCATATTTAGAGGAAATGTATCTTTTTTTAAAAATGTAAACCTACAGCATATACCACCTGTCATTTGCTATATTCGGTTTTTATGCAAAACTACAGTAACAATAAGTTTTAGTACCTCTGTGAAGTTTGCTTGGGAGAAAACCTCAATCGTAATTTATATTTATGAATATCAATAAAAGGAGCAACTGGAAAGTATCTGGCTCGATCTTGAACCGGCAGGATAAATCTGGCAGGTAGCATCAACATTTAATACAACATCCTGAAGCGAGCAGAGAGTTCAGATTTACTTACTGTTTGGGTCAACTCCTGCAGCAGTGAGTAAACTTTAAAGCTGTGCTCTTAAATTATTTTATAGTTTATGTTTGCATATCGTGCAAGTAGTAAATAGTGTCTCCCATTAAACCCTTTCTGCCCACCAGTTTATAAATCAGGCTTTCTGCAAAATATACTGATGTCGACTCCGTACCAGAGATAACCTTAATAACATCACTATGACAACAACACGATGACATCATGGTTATTTTGCCATTTTAAAAGCTTCCTCCACAGACAGACTGAATAATACTCTTTGTGATGAGAAAGCTGAACTTGATGTGTGAATTCAGTAAACTTAATTCAGTTAAGTTAACAATTCTGATATTTTTCGTTTCGATTTCCATTAAAACAATAACTGCAATATTTAGACAAAACAGCATTGCCCCATGACAATATAACAAGGGGCAATGTAAAAGGGCACTCAGAGAGAGCAGACCTCCGCCAAGGCTGTTTCCATAGGTGAGAAAAACACCACCTGTGATTCGGATCCTCTTCATAAGTGTAATGGGTTCCTTCCACCAAGGTTCATGACAATTGGGGCCAGTAGTGTAATCCTGCTGACAAACAAACAAACTGAACCGAATACATAGCCTCTTGGTGGAGGTAATAAAGCCATAATGTACACAGCTCTCCGTGATGCCGCTTGCAGTTGTTGTGTTTGCTGAATGTCACCTCACCGAGTATCCTAACAGATTATGTTGATTATTATGTAAATCTAAAAATGCACACCGACTGAGACAGAGCAGAGAACTGCTCTGTACTCAAACTCTCCTTGCTTCACATTTTTTTGTCACACCCAGTTCAGTGATTTGACAGCAGGTGCTTTTCCTTTTACAGCTGACAGAATATACAGAATATAAATGGAATATGAACACTGGGCTTAGAGGAGGAGGAACACACCAGGGAATCCCAAACAGATTCCAGTTGAAAGTTTCAAGTTATGATTAAAGAGAGAATGTAGTTCCTCTCATTTTCCATAACCTTTTACTCAAGTCAAAATCCATATCTAGGAAACTAAAGAAGACCAAAGTTCCTTATCATGGTAGAAGTTAATTTATTCAGCTGTTTTTTGAGGGTTGGTGGATCAGTAGTTCAGATTTTCTAGGATTGAATTAGGGCTGGCGGAGGCCATGTAAGTCAGAAAGGTGGATCATTTGAGCTACTTGAAAGAAATTTTGCATAAAATGTTAAGTGCTCCTTGTGATCTTTTAAATTAGCTGCTTACCGTCTCCTGTCGGGCCAAGTCTTTCCTCCTTAAGAGGGGTAAAAACCCCGGCACAGTCATTGTAATTGGAGACTGAATTAAGGACTGAGATGGAGGAGATTATTGGGCTTTTTCATTGAACTAAAAGTGCAGGTGTACTACTTATATATCAGGCATACTGGTTTACTTTATTTTTTATAAGAATATATTCACATGAAAGAACAGATATCTGCTGTGATACATGATCTCATAAGACAGTTGATAGATACATGTAATCTATGATGGTTGTGTAGGTTTGTATACAGAAGCAGGTTGTCATACAGACATTTTTAGCTGCTGGTATAACTGGCTCAAAGAAGTAGTTTGACATTTTTGGAAATTATTTGTTTTCTTGCCAAGGGCTGCATGAGAAGATTGATAGCCTACTGCTTAGCTTAGCATAAGGTCTAGAGACTAACGCTGCTCCTGGCCCAAAATAGTCTGTTAAACTAACACAAAAATAAGAAATAACATATCTTGCGTTATAATGAGTGAGGTTTAGAGGTGCTAGTTGGCAGATGTTGTCGACTTTGGACAGACTTAGGCTAGCTGTTTCCAGGCTTTACGCAAAGCTAAGCTAACAAGCTGAGCTAAGCTAACCAGCCACTGGCCATAGCGGTATACTAACCAGCGAGACATGAGAGTGGTATCTTCTAATCTAACTCGCGGCAAGAAAGTCAATTTCCCAACTAACCAGTTAACTAAGCTTACATTTTGCATACAGTTTGGTTGTTTTACGTGTGTCCGTCAGACCTGACTGGGGGTTCTGTGTATGTTCTGCTGTGTTAGCCGTTTCAAATCACGTATCAACTGTTTCTACAATGACTTTTTCAAGCTAGAAAATTCAGCCATCAGATTGATGAGGACGTTTGAAAGTCACATATTGTAGCGTTTTAAAAGGAGGTTTCAGCAGCTCAGTGTGCAGTAGCTCTGGTCATTGTTTGGAGATGGGTGTCAGTGCAGCAATGACATCATCCCCGTTAACAAACCATCTCCATCATCGTCCTCACAAAGCTGGCTTATAGGAATCTATCAAAAATGTGCAAATATTGGATTGTACGTGATCTGTGTCTGTTATGCACGTATACGATCGCATATCTGACACTTTGCATTCATTTGAGAGATGGGGAACATTCAGGTCTATCTAGCTCTATTGCATTTCTATCATCACGGCATAGAACAATGTTACAAACTGTCTCTTTCCTCAGTGATGATAAAGGCAGAATCGTTTCATCACACTGAATAGAGATGGCAAACTTTGATCACGATGCCTGTTCTCCCACTCTCCTTCTCCCAGGCTCGTTTAAATAACTGAAGATTGTTCACGTGTGACGAACATGAAATATCCAATCACCGCTTTTAATATTCCACTATGAATGATGAGGACATTTTACTGAACTGTATTGCCATTCACAATGGAAGAGATTCTAGTGTAACGGAGTTGTGCGTTTTAAACATCTTGCTCCAAATGTCAAAGATCACACAGCAGAAATCTGTTTTGTTTTATAGATAATTCAGTGCCAACGACCCCATTACAGCATTGATAGATATGGATCCAACCTCTGACATTCTTTCCCATTCAGTAGTTAATTATTACAGAATAAATGTCCAAGGTGTAAAGCAAGTTGTTCCTTCGCTCTCTGATTTGAAAATGTCCTTTTTATTTCACATTTCTGATCCTGACCTTTTTTACATCTGCAGACATCGGATGCAGATTTCCTCAATGTACGAGCACTGCATAAGGATGAGACATCTTTCACAGGAGTTCCTGCTGCTGCAGATCTCTCAGGAAGAGTTCCTCTGCATGAAGGCCTTGCTCCTCTTCAGCATTCGTAAGTCGTGTCCGGTGTGCTTAGCATCAACATGTCAAAACAAACTGCTTAGCTTGATCCCATAAGTGGACATGCAGGAGAGAGACAACTGCTGAGCATGTCGTCAAAGCTGTTTTTTTTTTTTTCTGTTTTCACCAGTTCCTGTCGAGGGTCTGAAGAGTCAGAAGTACTTCGATGAATTGCGTCTCACCTACATCAACGAACTCGATCGGCTCATTAACTATCGAATGGCGACCAATTGTCCTCAGCGGTTCTACCAGCTCACCCGACTCTTGGACTCTCTCCAGATGGTGAGATACACCGCTTCAAATGGCTTCAACTGTGGGCGCATCATAGACGAGCTCGGAGGACAGTCTAAAGCAAGATGAATTGTACTTTGCTGAAAACATTTCTTGGCTTTGCCGCACAATTAAATCTCATGGGATGCTGTGTTTTTTAATAGCCCATGGAAAATGCAGCATTTAAGCCAGTGCAAGCAGAATCTCTTTTTTAGAAAAAAAATGTTTAACGGAGGAGTTTTACATGATTTTTCATTATGTTATGTATTTTCACGAGACATGTCTCCTGAGTCATTGTGAAAACCCTGTTTGTAGTCAATTTTAGCCAAATGATTTATTTGTGTTTCTTCTGTTGCAGACGGTAAAGAAGCTCCACCAGTTTACATTTGACCTTTTCGTCCAGGCTCAGTCGCTCCACACGAAGGTCAGCTTCCCAGAGATGATTGGAGAAATAATCTCAGTACATGTACCAAAGATGCTGGCAGGTTTGGCTAAACCGATCCTGTTTCACCAGTAGAGGGATTTTTAATTGATCAAAAAGTGACTCATCTTTGCTGCCTCCGTAAACTTTAACAAAGGTACTGTTTACCTACATCTTCAGTCTAATAGCTCTTAGCCCTGTCCTGTAATCATTATTTTGTTGCTCAAGTGTTTTTGTTTTTTTTGTTCCTTTTAGCCATAATTGAGATTGTTTGTTCAAAAACTGTTAAAGCTTTTATCTGAGGCACTGCAAGGCATCACCTGCTGACAGCTCTGCTTTTTCTGAGTGGACAGTTTTGTGTTTTCAGAGATTCTACTTTACATACACAGTACGTCTGTAAATCATGATTACAGCAACCAAAAAGTAACAGGGTCAAAAACATTTTTTGGAAGTTTTGCATGTGACCTTTATTATACATACACATGGCAAGGTATTCATAAATACTGAAAAACAAGAGATGGCCTCAAAGAGCAGATGAGAATTTGATCACAGAAATATACAAATACTTGTTTCCCATCAACTTTCCCAAAATCAGTTTTTCTAAGTGCCGATGCACCTGCTAAGTTCCTGCTTGTGATATTTAGAGTAATTAATACAACTTGTGAGGCATTTAAGTGCTTAAGTGCCTTAAAATAAAAAAAAAGTTTATAACAACTGTCAAAGACAAACTTGATGTGCTACATCGTCATTGTTTACAGTGAACCTACAATACTAGATTGTCCTGCTGTGCGACTGTCCAGTGGTTTTGGGGCTGCAGGTCGGTCATTCAGGATAAAGTCTACTGTCTAGAACACATGCTGTCGTAATTTGAAACTAAATCAAGCCAAGTAGAGTATTGGTTACTGAAACGGTAATCCAACTATGAAATTATAAATAACATCATTGTTACTACCTCTTGGGCTCACATGTCTCTCAACAGCTTAAGTTGTTGCACTGAGTATTTAGCTGAAGTAGTTCTGACCGCAATCGCAGGCAGCTGCAGTATATTTGTTTTTACCTGACTGTAACAAATATGTATGCAAGACTGTGTTCATCCAGCATTCACTTAAAAATCACTTTTATTGAAGCTCAAATTCACAATAAAGTCAAAGACTTATTTACTTTACACTGTGAACAAGATGACGGGTAATGTCAGGCTGTGGGTCAGCTGTTGTGTCTGTCTGGCAGCACCCGTACAACCAAAACGGCACTTTGTGTTGTTTAAAGGGAAGATTTGCAACCCTAAATCATGGATGATTATAAATGTAATTGATCGAGGCAATAAATTCCTCAGTGGGTGCCGTGTTATTGACAGAGAAAGCTGAGTTCACAGCTGCAAAAATGTTCCTGCATCCAGCGCTGTCTTCTGACAGTGGCAGTGACGTAGTTGGAAGCATGGAAGAAATACTGGCTATTTGAGAGCATGGATTTGTGGTCTCTAACTCTGGGTGGCCACTTCCATGGGGCGTGCTCCAAATGCTGCTAAAAAACAGAACTCCCTAAATCTGTTGTAAGTTTCATTGTGTAAATACAGTTGACAAACAAATGCCACACATAACTTACTTGTTCTCTTCGCTTGTATAGCAACAGTGAACATGGCATCCAAAAATAAGAGTGCAGAGGATGTTATGGATGAGGATACTTTTTACAGTGTATTGACTGAGTATTGGGGCCGTATTTATTCCAGCCTTACTTGAGTATACGTCCGAACAAATGCTTCTGATCCTGGGCATCAGAAGCTCGCTTTGCAAGGCATCCTGGTACGTGTAGGCACTGCCAGCACAGCTCTGTGCGAAATAACAAATATTTCACCCGGTCATCACTATTTGCTCGTCTACTTCTAAAAATCAAATATCATACGTGATCATGCATGATCTGTACAATTCTTACAAAACACAGCATGACGTAACATTTCAGCCAGGTGACGGTCATGGAAGAAGCAACCGGAGTCCTATAATGTTAAAGTGTAAACGGTCCGTTGTTTGATTGAGTCAATGCAGCACAGTTCAGACATCTGCAGCTCACTGCATGCTGACTGTCGTTCTGCACTTCAAACCTTTTCAATTCACATTGGCAGCAAATGTGCAAAGCTGTTTTCTTTATGTTACAACATTTTAAAGCATTAACTTAGAAATATTTAGTCGGTAAACTTGTCAAAGCAGGTACTTGGCATTAGTGACATTGTATAAAATTGGACTGTTAGTTTAAGAAGTTTCGGTACTTTATTTCTCCACTGCACAGCTACAAAACTATTGATAACTGAATATTCCTAGTGCAACTTTGAAGAAGTCGCCAAAGATATATATTTTTTTCTGCATGACAAACTATGTTTGTATAGATATTTAGAAAGTATCAACCCCCCACCGAGTTTGTTTTTGCATTTACTTTAAAGCATATAAAGGCAGAGCAAAAGATTCATTGATACAACTAAAACTATGCTGTCTGCACTCAGCGCTGTGTACTACAGCAGAGTAGAACATCCCTGATAGACAGCACGGTGTTGACAGCGTCATGGTGTTGACAGCGTCATGCTGCGTGCGGCACTGGTAGACTTGTAGGGACACAAGACGAGAGCGTGGCACCAAATACAGGCAAAGACTGGATGAGAACTTGGACGATCCAAATAGCCAGCGATCTCAGATTAGGCCAGTCATGTTCCAACAGGACAACAAATAGAAACTTACAGCCAACTTGTAACTGGAAGGGCTTCAGATGTAGAATGTGAAAGTCCTTGGCTTGTCCTGGCAAACCTTGGAGATGAAAACCAAGGGAGAAAAAAAACCCTGAAGAATGCCTTGAAGATAAGTGATCAAAGACACTTGAGTCCAACTGTTGAAAAGTATTCATTCAAGTAGTCAAATACAGTTATTGGTTTTTGTATGTTATTTAAGAACCAAGGCGAGGAAATACAAGGACCTTTGTACAATGATCTTGGTCTGCTTGATGCGGAGCGTACATTACACTGGAATAGTGTATTTCGGTCGATGAACTAGAAGTGTAGGGCACTCACAATCCAACGCAAACAAAACTTCAAATTCACTTCTGTGGTACATTCTGCAGGAGCGTTTCATAACTCTGTAAATTCAACACTTTTTAACAGTTCCACATTTATTTCACAAGCTTGTATAGATGCATGCGTGTGATTGTTTAAATGTAGGCATCGGGTTTCGCTTCACACAAAGCAATGCATGGACATCCACGGATCACTCCGAGTTCCTGTCTTTTTGCATACTGACTGATGTTCGATGCATGGGACATCTGTCAGAAGGCATGAAGCCATTTTGTTGTACAGTGCAAAGTGGTACGTTGACTAGAACAGTCATTTTCAGTGTTTTGTAACTGATTCATTCATAGACTTCAGTTGAGCGCTTCAGAGTACTTTACTTCGTCTGCAGAAATGAATGTCTTCGTCTTGTCTTTTTATACAATCTTTGCTATGCAGGAACGGGGGAGAAAATGGAATCCAGTAGCTATAGACGAGTTCACTTGACCCCCACCACAGCGGCTGATTACAGCCCTGACACTTGAATACATGTGTCCGCTGTCATTAGAGAGAGCGACAGTTCAGTGTGAAGTTGCAACTACACAGAAGCTTAATTAAACGATAATAAGAACCCAAGTTATATATAAAACAGTTAAATGATTCGCAGTACCTGTCATTTTAAGTATACACATAATGCTTCAGTTTTGATCAAATAAAAAATAAAAATTCAGAAATGGATATTTATCAAACCTCACATTTCCTGTATGCACTATATTGTCAGACTGATGTTGCAGCAACTTTTATCCTTTTAAATTAACGCTGGTTCTAAAGAATGTTGTGATTTTTTTAATGCTGTTTTAACTTTATTATGCATTACATATGGGGAATTTGAAGGCACTTCTAGTGCCGGTGACTAATGCACTTCAATGAGTCATTTTTGTAATACTAATATGATTTAATCACAGTAGACTACAGTGTTTGTATTATGTCAATTGACAAAAGCTGGTATGTGCCCAGTGTACTGCATATTCACCTGATCTTTGTACATGCTACAGTAACTGTATATATTGATTTGTTTAATGTCTGTTTTGGTGTCCCAACACTTGACTTTTAAAGTCATCTCTTGTATGATTTTTACCTTTTGTGACTTGGATATGTGTGTTTTTCAAAATGTGTAAAGCTGCATCATCTTTTAAAGGCAATTAAAACAATTCTGAATTTCCTTGTTTGAAGTAATTCTACAAGACACTGTAAAGTAACGCCGATGGCATGTCATCATTTTATCTCCAAGTCCAAATGTTTACGTCGTCTTTGATTGGGGGGGGGGAAGAAGAGCTGCTTGGAACAAGTCAGATTTGAGACATAAAGAGGCTTACTTCATTTTAATCATATGGATTCAAAACTGCGTACACTGCTTGAATGCCGGACAGAAAAGACAATAACAGTAAAATCTTAAAAAATGTGCCGTAGTTATCTGGTAAGCATGATGCTTTTAACTAAAAAGTATAACAAATATTCATCCAGTATAAATGCCTTACCAAAGAAATATGTTGGCACCAACTGTTTAGTTCAGCTTGGACATCCCCTGAACCATGCGCTCGCTTCAGTGAGAACACGCACTTTTTTGTTCTCGTTCTTGTGCTCCCCGATTTGAAAATGTCGCACTCGGCTGTAAATTGATTTACTGCAGCTCAAGCTCAAACTAATTGGCACAAAAGCTCTGAGCAGGGAATTTCCAATGGTCCCTGATCAGGGCCAACCAACCACCAAGTCCAGCGCCGCTGGTGCAGCAGCTGAGTTACAAATCAGTGGATTTCACTGTGGCTCTGAGGTAGGAAAGGTTGGAATGTGGCAGGAGTAGTGGATGGCAACTTAAATACAATGTCCGGCTTTATCTTTATAGAACAGACTGAGTGCATGATGATAGGAACTGTTGTGCTGCTCCTTTTCTTTTGGAACGTCACGGGTGGTAAAGTAAATTTTAAGAATATCTTGCTCCTTCAATTGTACACATTTAAGTGATTATAGATAAAACCTCATGGAAATGTGACACTAGATGACTTATTGTGCTTGTCAAAGGCAGCATGTTTTGCATGCAGCAATTATTGAAGGCCACAGCGGATGGACTGGATGGACACACTGGAGGCTTGGAATGATAGCAGCATGCGCTCTGGGGATGGAAATCTCTGTGGTCCAGAGTGAACAACAACTATTGATCGGACCGACTGAACTTCTGCACAGACACTCGCCGTCAGAGGAAAGCGGTCTTGACTTCAGGGATCCACTGACTTTTCCGGTCATGCCTCCAGCAGTTTGACATTTGTGTTGCCATGGATAATTTAGTACACACAGCCCGTTTATGTTCCTCTCAGGAGGAATCGTAATGATTTCGGTCATTTTGGATTTTTGTCGCTAGCACAGAGGCTTGATGTTTTCGGGTCGTCAGTCCATCAATGTCCGGCCCGCTATCGTGAACGCAATATCTCAGGATCTCCTGAAGGGAAGTTCTTCAAAAGCGTCCAACTGGATTCAAGGATTAGATGATTAGATTTTGGAGATCAAAGGTCGAGGTCACTGTGACCTAACCTCCGCACCATTCTTGAGATATCTCGGGAACGCCTCGAGCTAATTTCTTCAAGTTTGGCACAAACATCCACTTGGACTCAAGGATGAACTGATTAGAATTCGGTGATCAAAAGTCATTTTTACCTCACAAAACACATTTTTGGCCATAACTCAAGAATTCATATGCTAGTTATGAGAATTTACCACAAATGTCTAATAAGATAAAGTGATGACATTTCTGACAGACATGGATGTGAACTGCAACATGACTGGTTGCTGGAGGCATACAGCTGTGGGTAAGAATGTCAGTTTAATGGCACCTCTATTGTTTATTGTCGGTTTGATTTAGTTGTAGCATAATTTCCACCACTGTTGAGTGAATTCTATCCTTTATATTTGCATATTAATTTCCTGTATTGTTTACATTTTCCTTGTGCTGAATTAAGAATCATAGAATAATGACTCATTCCAAACAGACTATAACATCGTGCAATAACACAATAATATGTTCATGAGGCATGTTAACAACTTTTATTTTCTTTTTTGCAAACAAATCCAACGACCAGAATTATCAAGTTGGGTTATTAAACAAAAGTGTAAAATTAACAGAACGATTTTGAAGACAAAGAAATAAAACAAAACATCGGAGTGTTATCTTCACAAACTATTGTAACAGTCAGTTTACGTGACCCATTTTGGTAATTTATTTGAGGTGCAACAAATTCAGGTAAACTTCTTCTTGTGCAACCTGACCTACCTCCATGAAGTAAGGAGGGATCGACACCAAGGTCAGAAGTGAGGGAATGTACACTAGTGAATCTAGTTTTAATAACTCCCTATTAAACTAGCATTAGCATTGTATTCATCATGTCGATTATAGCCACACTGACTGGCATACAGGCCGGCACTGGGTAGCAAAATACATTTTTGTAATGCCTCATAAAAAGTGACTCATCGCTGAAAGACACGTTTTGTCAAATTCAATTTTGATCTAAAATTTCTTTCTGAATGAACAAACCAAAACAGCTTCCACAGAAATAGTTATTCTATGGATGTAACTTGCTTCATGAATTAGCTTTATCCAGCTCGTTCACAGACCTGTACATGGTTCAATATACAATCTAGAAGTTAATGGGACTAATTTTTCATGTTTTCAAATGAATAATGATTAACCCTATTTAATCAATTAGTCATCTTTGGGAGATATATTTTACAATTTAAAAACAAGTGTTAAGAGTGTAGACAAGATGTCTAAGTAATCGGTTATAACAAGTTATGGCAGTTTGTTGCCTCTAATAAAATTGGCCATTCAAAGTTGTTAACACTGTAAAATAACTAAATATTGTAATATTAGTTGACAAAATTGTCACCTGGCATGAAACAAGGGGGGAAATAGTACAGTTACGCCATCTTAACTTTGGAATAATGATCAAAGCCCAATCAAAAGTCCATTTGCTAATGTGTTCCCTTACAACATCATTCTTACAATTAAACATAAGATGGAATCAAATATATGTATTATGATATATGGGGAGCCACCTCTTCAGTCTATCCGCTAAGATCATTGACAATGACTCCCTCCAGCTTCATCAGCACCCAACAGCACATGTAGAGGTCACATGATGTTGTCCGAGGCTCCTTAACTTTAATTCTGAGGAAACAGACAAATTAAAAACAGAGAAATCACGTCTCACTTCATTATACAGGTCGACTCTCAATGTATTCAGTATTTTAATGCTGTTGAATCTGTCACGATCACAGTAAATCTCACCTCTTTTGTCACTGTTGATAATTACGGAGAGGCGGGTGGACTAAATTAGCAGAGAGAAAAAAGAAAAGAAAAATAATTACAAATCCATTTTCGATTCTGGGGAAACATGGTTGCTATCTTAGCTCAACACCCAAACAAATACCAACAACACAAAGAAAGAAAAGCTTCAAAAAGCTCAGAACAACTGAGGGTCTTTCAGTTTAATTGGCTCCTTTTTGAAGTAAGAATTCAACAGTTAAAACAGAGGCTACCAACTAATTGTGAGATCTTAATATATCTACACGATATTCATATTATACAGCTGTGTGGGATAATAAATCACTATATGAGTCACACTGTGCTTCTTCTTTCCAAAAGGCCAAACGACATCTTTGTATGTCTATATGTAACATTAATAGAATACAATGTTGAAAGAGATAAACTCTCTTTGACAAAACTCCTACAAACTCTTCCCACTCAGGCATTCTTCCCTTCCAGCCTTTATCACTGCGTGTGCAGGGAGGGCAGCAAGGACCTGAACTCGGACCATCCAAGCAAATCATAAAAGAGGAGACATGTTTCCACTTCCATATTTACGTCATCAGAAGGAAGAGGGTAACTTTAATCTTCAGTTGGGGTTTTTTTATGAACTGTCATCTACAGGACTGTAAAAACATGTGTGTGTGATGAGTGTACTGAACTACAGAAAAGGACAGACAGGAGCACATACACAAATATAAGCTTCTACATACCTGCCAACGTGCCTGGAGGCATTCTCAAAAAACTTAGTTTTAGAGGCAACACTGCAGAAAAAAACAAACAAAACATGTTGGTATTAAACCTATGATTCATCTCATCGGGGAGATTCCAGATCCTTTTGTGATCCAACAGTATCATTTGGTAGACGGCGCTTTTTATACTTCACTACCTGCCTGTACGGTTCCCACCGATTTTTGGGTGTACGAAAGCTAAGCCATGGCTGCAAGCCATGTTGGTGAAAGACTGAAGACTCATCTGTTCAGATTCCACCTTGGCCCATGAAGACACACTCACCTCTTCCTCTATCTCCTATCGTCTCCTATTGTATGTAGCGGTTTGATGTAGATCAGCATATTTAATGACGTCGATGTACTTGTACGATTCTTGCTCTTCTGGAGGGACCCACATGGTCGAACGCTCTTATTGTAAGTCACTTTGGATAAAAGTTGTAATGTATAGTAGTTGTAATGTATTGTCGCTCCAGTTCTCTGATGGTGTGCATGCTGGCTTACTGAGGTCACTTAATGGAACAGAGGAACAGAGCCATTGTTAATCTTATAAATTACACATGGTATGGTGGTCTTTTATCTAATCTTTGGGATGACAGAATCTAAAGGATTATTGTCTTCTTGGCAACGTGTCCATTCTTTGATCGGAAAGTTTTGATCATCGAAACTACTAATGCCTTAAGGGTTGCTGATTCGGCACGTCTGGAATCCATTTCAAGGTTTTTTAAATTTAAAAAACGCAGATCCATTGAGTTCTTGACCAGTATCTCAAAAAAGGAGGCGACAGACTTTTGTTCTACAGAAGAGCACTTACTAGGATGAGGCTGTGCCCTCGCTGCTGGCTGCACTCGGGGTCTTTTGTGGAGCGGGGTGTCTGGAGGGGGGTTCAGGAGGCCTGACAGGTGGTCTACAAATGGCATGTTTCTCTGTGGACCTTGTTCTGGTCAGACCATCAGAATCTCCTGGAAGACATAAAACAATAATATAGAATTCCGTTGATTAGCAATTTCTTAATAACATTGTTAAATTGAAACAAGCTAAAAGTAAACCTATTTGTTTAAAGATAAATTAAAATGGAGAAAACCGTGAACAGATGACTAACATCTTTCCGAGGCCAGTTTGTAAAGTGTGTATACAGCAGGTGGACATGTTGCAGCCCATTTCCTCAAACCAGTCATGGTCTTCAACCATGTCTGTCCAAAATGTCTTCACGTCATCATTTCATTCTATTAATCATTTGTGTGAAATTGTCGTAATTAGGAATTCTCAAGTTATGGACCAAAAGACCAAAAGACCATAATCGTATCACTCCATCTTTGAGTTCAAGTTTGTGCAAAATTCCCTCAGGGCGATAGACTGACAAGATAACTCGAGAACATCAGCCAGCTGATGTTCTATGGTCTAACATATCTGATTGCTAAATCACAACTTTACTTCCTACACTACATCCCTTTGTGTTCATTTATTTTTAAATCGCATACAACTTATGTAGTTTTGTTAGTTAAAGAAAACAGGCATCATGGAAGGAAGTTTCCCCACATAAACACAGGGTTCACCATACCTTCTCTGTTGGCTGGTGAGCCTTTGGGAGGTTGTCTTCTGCTCTGGAAGGACGGTACTCTGCTCACATAGACTCCAGACTCTCCATTGGCCGCCGAAGAAGAATCTGGCCTTTGCCTTGTGTCGTCTATCTTGCCGGTGTCAGAGTCTAAGTGTCTTTCCTGACGGCTAGCTGATCTGGGCATCAATGCTAATTTTGGAGGAGGTTCTCTTGGAACGAGTGGAGGAACGCTTCCTGGTCTTGTCCGCTGCAAGGGAACAGGGTTCGTTGAGACTTCCCCGTCCACGACACAGCTGTCGTTCTGGCCATCTGTTGCAAAGAAAGAACACAACGATGAATGCAAGGTACTGGACTACTTGGAGTGGACTCAACGGACAAACATTGAGACGGAGAAAGGGATATTGTTGCGATTCCTATCTGAGACAGTAACTTCCGGGCCTCAGTCTAAAGTAAATTGTTTTCCTCTATGATAATACAAATTGTCTTCAGTGTGCAAGAAAAACAACAAACATGCAAAGCACAGCAAAACATGTACTGAAGGTCGCACAACAATACAATGTAGTTGAATGTAAGAATCTTAGTTACACAACCACTTCAGTGGTTTCAGAAAATAAAGCTTTGGATTAATCATACAGGGCTGCTTATTTGACAATACAAGTAAGTTAAGAATCTTTAAATATTAAACCAACGCAGGGAGGACAAGCTGCAGGTGCTCCAAAGCTCTGAGACACACCCACTTAATGAGGGCTTCAAACACAGACAATTCATTTTTTTTTTTATTTATTATACTATATTGATCCCTTTAAGGGGGAAATTTGTCTTTGCATTTGACCCATCCCTGTATGGGCCAATGACAGGTGCCCGGGGAGCCTGGGGTTCAGTGTATTGCTCAGGTACACTACGACACGTGAACCGTTGACCTTCCGGTTCCCAGACAACCCTCTTAACCCAGTGAGCCACGGTGATGAGGATGATGATGATAGTTACTCTCTGTGTGCTGGAAGAGGTTGGGAGTAAGAGCTTGATAAACACGAGGCGGCCGCTTGGAGATTGTGATTGGTTGCCTCTTTCTCGGGGTGATCCGCGGAGGAGGGACTGGTGGGGAAGTGCTGTCCTCTGGCATATAACTGAAGATCTGTAATCGCAAGAAAAGTTAAAGTGACACTTTGGTTTAGTGGCTACTGTTACAGCCTGTAACTGAATAAATGAAAAAAAGGCAAATTACTGCTCTTCTTCACAGAACAATCTTAACGAAAGGACTCGGCACAAAAAACAAATTAGTGATTTAGTGACGTCTATGGCAAACAAATGCTTCTGCTGCACAAACTCACATTGAGAAGCATTAGCTCAACAATTTATGAAATACTTATTCTTCCATGAGAAGATCAACATCCTCTGTTATCGGCTATTGTTGGCTCAGACCAGTGGCATTGTTGTATCTCGTTTGTTTCATAGGTATACAAACCAACACGTGAAAACGTCAATTTGGAAGTTTACTGGTGGTCATTTACTAAGTTATTTCTTGGACGGGACCAGTAACTTCATACAGTCTCCGCCGGTTGCCTGGCAATTAACGAGCGGTATCAATTTTGCCATCTTAATCTCTGCAAAGCATAAAAGCATGTCCAAAAACATTATTTTTAAAGTTACGCAATATTATATTGCTCGATGGTCTCTTACATTCTTTGAAAACTTACCTTTTTGAAGTCCCCAATCAGAATCTCAACGACAATATTTTGGAACTTGATATCCAACATGGCCGCCACCGTCTCCTCCTTGGCTCTCATGAGCGTGGGTCCAAAGATAACGGCCATGTTTGAAGGGATCATTCGATTTTCTTCACTGTGACTGCACACGCTGTTAAAATAATGAGTGATTGAACTGTGACACATTATCTCAGATCATTTGCGACAGTGAGCAAGAGGTACATAAATAAAGAAATACACGGTGTGCTAGAACTCACTTGACCAGGTGTTTAATAAGCATCTCCACCATCTCCCGGTTCTTCTCTGGTAGCTTGTGGGAAAGGGAATGAATCTCACTCAGTCGAAAGTCCAGATTGTCTGACTCTGTGATACAAAGACAACACAAAGTATCTGTAGACATAAATCACAAGAAACACAATATAGAATAGGACCCAGCCCTACACTGCAATGGCATGAGACTAGTACAAAAACGTCTCGAAGACAAACTCAGGCCGTTTAATTAGGAGCCCCTATTAAAATACTGAATGACATTTCCAGGAAACTAGAGTACCAATTTGTCTCACTGTAACATCCTGCGGCTGTTGCTGTTAAACTCATTGGTTTCTCTGTTTTACGACGATGCCGTGTGACAGATATAAATAAGCAGATGACTTTTATGGCTTCCAGACTGGCCTAGTGCTGCCTGTTAAACTGCGGAACCTGCCTCTTTTGTACCTGCCATCCGGGCAATGCCTATCCACGGTAACGCAGGTGTAAAGATAAGCAGGACGCAACTCCCCAAACTATCTGGAAAAGATCATCTGAACTCTGTAAAAATGTAATCTGAGCATCTATCCTGTGCTTAATTGATTATACAAGCCAACAGTCTGTTAAGTTCAGGAAACTGTGTCATTTAATTGTAACATATTGGTAAAACTAAGAAATTACAACATTTAAACTACAAGTATATACAAACAGCATGTTCCATGCACGCGTCAGTTTATATTTCTTATCTTTGCAAATAGAAAGCATGAAGCCTTTTGGTACTTTATTAAGTAGAACATGAATAAGCATGACAGCAAAATAGTTTCACTATTGAATGCTAACAGGTGAGGACAAGTTTCCTAATTCCTTTGAAGTCATCAAGAGGATTAGATTTTGAATGAAACTCAAGTGTGAGTTTGACACATATTTTAGCCTCAGGTGGAGAGCCGAGAACATGAACATGCAAACAAAACTCCTTAATCTTTGCGCTGGATGATGTGTAAAACACATCTTACTTGCAGCACACATGAGGTCTCTGTGTAGACTGTAGGTCATCAGCGGTTCAGACAAGCTCCTGCAGATAAATACACACACACTCGTAAACAAGTGCAAAATAACTCAACACGTCAAACACAGGGAACTCTGGGATTTGTACTAGGAAGAATTCTGCAAAGTTACAAATGAGACTGTTCATCAACGTAACAATTATATTATAGTTGTATGTAGTTAATGTAGGCGTATCTAACATAAAATACAGAGCAGACGTACAGATTTGATAATTAAAACAATGTCAGTCAAAAAAACAGCCTTTTCCGCATATTAGCTTTGTGTCTCCTGCTCACATGCATCTACTCGCAGACCAAACATACCTTAGATAAAACTTCAGTGCACTTGTGATGGTTTTAACATCCCAGTCGCTGCTCTGGAGATCCACATCTCCTGGGTTAGTGGGGTCTATGAAGGAGCAAATCAAAACAATGCAACACCATTATGGTTCAATTCCACGTAAACAACACTGACGTCCACCTGTGATTAGTACCTTAATTGATCAAAGTAACTGGCTAGTTGTGGCATGTGCTAGCCATAATTAAATAATAAGCAATATGTGGCCAGGTTCACCAGCTTGTTTGGTGCTGGGCAGGTAGAGCGCATTTGAAGTTTTAAAATCAAAGCAATGAGTTGAAAGACTTCTATAAAGCCAAGTTGAGCTGAAGGGAAAAGCAGAGCTGGACGGCGATTCTTTGTGGGTTTGCCGCTACAAACCACGCCTTTTTAATGCATAGTCATTTGATTGCATACAAATATAATATAGAGCCGCTTTAAGGCAGAGCCGCTCCAGAGTAGGAGCGGTTGCGAGTCAGCGACCTGCTGATATTTCCTCGTCATTCATACAGACAACCTTCACGAAAGCGGCAGAACCTGCAGTGTTTAAACGAAGGAAGAGGAGCCCGAGCAAAGAAGACACGGCGAAATGGACAGATGCGGAAACATGTTCCCGGGCTTAATTTCCTTACCAAAGAAGGCATTTAATAGCTTCTGCACTTGGATGTTGCTGCCAACAGTTCTGTACACTCCTTCCTGTGTGACTCCTGGAAAAGACGAGAGGGAGGTAAAAAGAAAATTGAAAAGTTGGGGAGTGTAACCTGGACAAATACAGAGCAGAGGAAATGTACCACATGCAGAGGTTGCAGGAGCCAGAATTAAGCTACAGATGTTCTTTCCTGATTGTTTCGTTTGAGACAGAAAAATGTGCCAGGCTTGGATCATAAGTCCAATTACATGCTTATGGCTTGAGTGCTCGTTCTTTTCTTGTAAGATGAATCACCCTTCTGGCGAAACATTTAGCGACTGTAGAATTATAAAGTTGCATCGTCCCTCGGGACAGGTTTGAGTTATTGGACTTCTATGTTTTAGCATGCATGGAGAGAAGGGCTTTACATAGAGAAATACTAATACAAAAAATGTTGTGATGCAAATTGTGACGCAAACATTTATTCTCTGAAAGGAGTCTGCAGGCTTGGCATCAACATTTAACATACGACTCAACCACGCCCCCTTCAGGGAAAGTAAGTAAACTAACAGAGCTAAAGACAGCTGGAATAAACCTGGAACAGGACCCTTTACCTTTTGTTTCAATGTAGTTGATGCACTTTCGCACAAACTTAAATCCAATTTCATTCAGTTCCACTGTGGAAGTAAAAAAAATAAAAAAAGATGAAAAGATTGAACAGGAAACAATAATTTGAAGAGAAATCTTCTGATTGTTAAAACATGAACACAGATGAACTCAGTGACGCATCGGGGTGTTACTGTGTTTGTCTACACCTCATTACATCAACATCGCAACGTAAGACCTGGAGGTCAACAAACAACTTACTTTCAGCTTGATTGTGAATTGGGGAATGATAGATCTGAAATGAAAAATAAAAATGTGAAAATGAAATTGAGGAAACATTATGGAGAATATAAGACCGGCCTCACAACATGATTAATGAACACAATGTGTTTTTTAGAGAATAAGAGAGCAACTTGAGGACGGCAGGAGGACACAAAGCTGCTTCACTAAAATCAAACTTGGCTGGATGTATTGATCGCTTCCCGTGTAGTTTATGGCACTATCAGCCCCGTTTTCCTGTTTACATTATGAGCCAATTCAAATTGCATGAAAATAATAACAATGGAAACAGAGAGAAACCGAATGTGTGTCTTGTTAACTGATGGAAAACGGGAAAGATTCCTGATTCAAAAACAAACCAAATGAAAAGAATTCTCTTCTCTTGGGATTCATTTAGAAAACCTTTAAAACTCACAGCCAACACAAAGTCGTTTTTTTTTTATATCAAAGCTTGGTCTTATTCTTCCCCCAAATTTGTTTCGACGTTGTCCGCTCTCCCCACTAATGGCGGTCAGAGGCCAGGGCCAGCTACAGAGCAGCTGGAAACAGTAAAGTGGAGTCTTGTTTAAGGTTTCCTAAGCAAGGACGAGTGCTGGTTGTCACTGAAGTGTGAAATATCCCCATCATCACGCCGTGTTATTAATTCACACCTGAGAGTGGAACAACTACTACATCACTCTCTGCTTCGTTTTTTGGGAGGAAATCTCTCAAAATCTAACATGAGTTTCTCTAATTCAAAAAATAAGATCACATGGAAGCCATGCTTTAAAACCGACGAATCTGATCTAGACATGCAAAAAATTATGAAGCTTTCAGAAGAAGGAATTACTGGCAGTGAAAAGTCAGCTTCTTTCCAATGTTGGAATGATTACCGTAATGTCCTCACGCTTAGGTGAGTTTGGAGAGGAACGTGCAGTTTTCATACCAAATACTTTTTTTAATTTATAAGAAGTTCCACTGGAAAGTGCACAACAATGGGCCTCTAAGTGATCTGCAAGTGTAGCGTTACATAACATGTGCCATACTGGCACACACGGGTCATACATGTCAACCAAAGTTTTCCAAAAAAAAAGAGACTAATGGACCAGCTGGCTGCCTGGAGCCCGGCGTCCGCCTGCTTTTGTTTCCAGAGCTCCTGAGGAGGTTCATTATGGGCAAAAAAAACGCTTAAATTATCGTCCACCATTATTTTTTTATTATCGCTTAAATCTGCAGATATAAATCTTGATTAATTGGTCAGTTGTTTTGTCAATAAAATATCAGAAGATGGTGAGAAATTAACAACCACAATTTGCCAGAACCCCAGGTGACATCATCCAAACAATCTAAAAGTAAAAAATATTTCATTAACTATCATCATGTATAACGAGGAACTGCAGCAAACCCTCACATTTGAAGAGCTGGAATGAATATTCAGCCCGAAAAATTACTTTTAAAATTGCCGATTACTTTTGTTGATCACTTCAGCTCTGGTGTCTACTCCAAGCCAATACTTGTTAGATGATAGGGATTACTAGATTAACGCTGTGCATTAAAAGTGCAAGAGAATCGTCACTCTTAGAGCAAAGCTCTGGACTCGGCACTCTAACTATGAGACAGCAGAGTAAGAGAAAGGTTCAGAAACATGTTGAAACACATCAGCATATGCATCGACACGCTGCAGTACGAGGCCCAGGTGAGCAAATATGAAGCGTCCATAAGACTGCATCTTATACGTCAGCCGTTCAAACGGCTAAAGGGCATTCAGTGTGTATTAAAGACGACTGTGGAAGAAGAGATTATTCTAACAGAGCCCCAGAGTGGATTCGTGTCCAGAGTAGACCTGGCAGCAGTGCAGCGCATCTTTGCTTGACAACATTTGGGCAGAGTGGGTGGAAAAGCTCTTTTGAAATGTGCACCATATAGAAAAGTCATTGGGGAAGTTGCACAGGAAGAAAGGGCGTTGAAAAGTGTGCCTTCTGTTATTTTCACATCCTCTGGCAGTCACGGTCTATTTGTTGTGTCCGCAACTCACGCGATACCTAAACCTGAACCATCCAACACGAGAAGGACTGCAGAGGGAGCAGAGTTTACAACCGAAAGAGGAATCGACTACATCGTAAATCTGGCGAGTAAGGCTATTTGGTACATCCTCGCCTCAAAGCTGCTGAATACAGAGACGGCCCGTGGGAGCAGCAAAGTTTGGCTGCTTTTACAGAGAGGTTTCAATTAACACCTAAACATGATTATAAGAGCAAAAAAGAAAAATCCCTGATGGTGTGAACTCAGCCGTGCTGTGTGGGGCCGTTAAAGCTAACCAGGTGTCCCCATTAACTGCACACCGGTGGTATAATGGGGCCTGACAGGCTTCATACCACCTCACACGTCTGGAATAGAGAAGCCATAATGACATCACCCTTGCCGTCGTCCCGCAGCGCTTAAGAAATGTCCCATGTGAGCTGTTAAGTCCCTTACATGATGAATTCGATAACAAACCCCCCCCCCCCCCCCCCCCCCAAATGTTTCTGTTAAACAAACAGCACAGTATTTAACAAATCGGGTTTTTCAGAAGAACATTGTGAATGTAAAACACGTTTAATTAGGTGCAATTAAATTAAGAAGCTGCAAATGACATTCATCTTGGTAACTGTGGCTTCTTCCCTCAAAGATTGAAGACGGAAGTGTAACTACCTGCCAGCATTTAAGGAGGTTGAATTTAACACAGGTTGGATAGACTCTGCAATCCAGATTGGAAATGGAAACTGGCTGATTGGGAGTGTTAAGCGTCACCACAATAACCAGTGGCCATGTCTCCCCTTAGCAGCAGACTCCATATTGCATCGTACATATTTTTGGCAGTGAAGCACTTTCGACAAAAAATGATGTCTAGGAGAAGAATAATCCAAAATGAGATGAGAAATGAACTCACAGGCTCTTTTCCATCCATGGCCTCCATCCACGACTTCCTGTCCGCCTCCGAAAGAGCTTGGAAAGTGACGGGTGTGTTTCTATGGAAACAGTAACAAATGCCATTAAAAGAGGAAAACGGCTGCAATTACATTATTCAGACGCACTTTGTTCAGGCTGCTTTTTTCCAACCCGTTGAGAACATTTCGTTTTTTCAGAGCTCTTACACGTCACGGACCATACGCATTTTTCAGAGTGGACAAAATAACAAGAACAGCACAAGATGAAGTAAGCGTCGTCATTGAAGTCGCTGATTAAATGCCTGATGCATGATGGAGGCGAATGAGACGAGCATCAAGAGATGATGAGAGTCAACTGTTGCAATCTGTCTTCTGCAGAAGCAACTAAATCTGGTGCCAAATTTTACAGCTTATAGGCAACTGGATCAATTGTTAACTAAGACAACTGTGCTACGAGTTTAAGGCTGCCAACTGCACTAATCAGCAAACTATGACAACCTTAAAACGTCTGATAAAAATGAACTTTTCTATCAACGGCTAACCCTGATAGGAGCCACGTGGCGACGGTGTTCCCGGATTTGTTTTGAAGCCCTTGCATGTCAGTACGCCTGAAACTCGTATGGTGGCGTTGTGCAAAGACAAGTTCAGCTAACAAACGACCTGAGATATTAAGAGCAGAGGAATATATAAACCCTATGTCAACGCCTTCTAGGAAGGCGGTCCGGGTCGGGAAGCAGCACTGGACTAAAACATCTCGAGCCAAAAACATAATCTCCTCCACTAGACAGCACTGCCACCTGCAGTTTATCAAACAGCCTACTCCTCGCCGTGTTGTTGTTCAGCTCGCACACTGACACAAATTAGTTGCTCGACATTCAGAGACACTTTCGAGCGCTTCCTGAATAATTCAAGCAGCTTTTAAACCTTTAAAGACACCCTGTCGACAGTATTTCCACATATTTCAAGAAACCCCAATGTAAGCAGCCTACGGCTCAAGTGTCTATTAAAATGCATGCTGTGCTGCATGGCCCGCTTGTATTAATATGAACTTGTTGTGTTCCTTCCCCTGACTGAAATGACGGCGTTCTCCATCTGTCTCCAGCCCCTGCTCGTCGCTTAGGGATTGTTTGGGCTACAGTCCATTTAGCCCTCACACACTGTCCTTGTGAGCCACCTGTTCACCTCGCCCGCCTAAACCCGTTCATTCCACAAGGCTCCCCCGTTGTTGCCTCATCTCCCAGCATCGCAGATTTGTTTGCGCTAACCTCTCGTGAGTTTCCACGTCAAAGCAAAAGCGCTTGTCGATGGACTCCGTCTTCCGGCGGATGCAGGATTTCAGTGTGAGCTGCGTAGTGCCCTGCAGCAATAGAGAGAGGGGGGGGGAGAGAGAGGGGGTTGGTAGCAGTCTGGGGATATAAACTGGCTACAGGTGCTGAAGATGTCAGAGCATGTTGGTCTGTGGCTACGAGTGGTGGATTTGTTTGTAATTATAATTCATTTCTTTTGCAGTGAAGCACCTGTTTAGTTATAGGCTTCTGCTCGCAAGGCACCATGACCAGCTGTCTCCCCTCCTTGCGATACTTGCAATAATATTTGACCCACGACATGCCCAAAGCCCCTGTTGGGACAAAAAAGAAACAAAAAGAAAAGAAAGGACAGGGTTTGTCAGAGTGAATTCCAGCAGGAGCGTGTACAAGTACCCTGCTTCTGTATAGACATCTAGCACACGTACACTTCTCATGACAGTACAGATAGCCCTCCGTGGGCAGAAAGCTGTGCATTTTACAGATCTGGGACGGGTGTTTCATTCTTCTCATCAGCTCCTCCATCTCCTCGCGAGTGCTCTCGTAGTTGTTTCTTGTCTGCAGGCGAAACCGGACAGCACTTTAGAAATCTCATCGGACATCCGATTAAGACGATATCAAATCTCACCGACGGCGTCATTCGCTGCACCACTCACGTTCTGCAAGCTGAGCTGCAGTTCTTGCTTGTAAGGCATGAAGTCATGAGTCATCTCCACAGTCAGGTTGTTGAGCGTTAGAACGCTGTGCAGAAATGCCAGCACCTGTCCCAAACAAAGCGTGAATTACATGCTGTAGATATCCATCAGCGAGTTCTTCTATTCTGTTATGTATTTCCTCCATCTCTTGTTACAGCAAAGAGGAAGAGTGGGAGACCACAGGCAGAACTCACCGGCTCCACCACGTCAAACTTCTTCCTGTCCTGCACCTGATGGATCTGGTACACGTAGTCCACCGACGATTCATAGAAGTTCACCCGCTCTTTGTCAAGGACTTCATCGGCCTGTTGTTAAAAAAAAATATTAAAAAGGAAATTTGAAACAGTGACTTCTTCGTCGCTCTCAGTTCTACGTTTCACTGCACAACAGATGAATGCTTCGTCGTACTCCACCTCTTGAAGTTGACTCTCTTTCTTCTTTGCAGAGAGATTCAGGTGTTTGTCTACCTGGGAGTGGTATTTTTCACTCTCCTTCTCGAACTTCTTTTTCTTTTCCTGCGGGACAGATGTGTAATTGGGGAAAATGAAAGATTAAATAAAATAATCTAGCAAAGCTTGATTAAAAGACTGAAAAAAAAGATACTAAAAAGCTGATTTTATGGGCCGATATTTCAAGTGAATAAAATGTTTGCTGAAGATTCTTTAAATTTACATCGTATGTAGGTTTTGCATGAAGCTTTGAAAAACGCTCCGCGGTGGTGGGCAGACTATGCGATGGAGACACACTTTCTAAACTACATATTTTGGCATTTCTATGCTGCAATTTCTTCTGATAAATACGCTGATGCCAACACATTTGCAATAGGCTAATATAGGTCAGTTATTTCCAACCAGGGGCTACTTTTGTAGTTGCCTAGGGGTATTTGGGGGAAGATGAAAAATGTAAATACTGATTTGATCTGACAAAAATAAATAGTAGTAATAAATTGTTAGCTATTTGAAACACGATGAAGAGGTGTGATGGTAAATTTCCACTGTGACTTATCTCTCCTGTTTTATTAGCTGACCACTGTGTTTTGGCCCTTTGGTATTAACAAAGTTAATACATGTCAGACATGGTCAGCGAGGGTCCTCTCAGGTTGAGTAATATTGGATGTGTGTCTTAATCAGGGGCATGATACTGTCAACTTAGATAGGGGGCTGAATGGGGATGCAATCAGTGGACCAATCAGTGATTAACCATTCAATGGTTGGTCAGTGAATGATCACTGTTGTCCGGATGTCCTAGTGATGAACTCCTCCTATCCCACCATGTGCTCAAGGCCTTTATAAGTCGTACACAACCAACACTCTGGGTGCCTTCCTCCTTCAGACCGCATTGCGGTCTGTATGACGATTGAACCTTCTCTACACAGAGAATAAAGACTCTAAGGACAAACTTCTTTTCTCAATGTTTTTTGATTTCAGTATCATAGGACTCACTCAGTACTATTGAATAGTTTTTTCCACCAGAGGTACTCGAGTTCATCCGATAGGGCGGTGGGGCTCAGACAAAGTAGGTTGTGGGTTGATCTAGTATTCATTTTCACCACTTTCACTATTTCTAGAACATTGTTTACTCACATGTATGTTCTCCTTGTAAAGGACACAATACCCCTTTTTCTCTCATTGAGATAACACAGATTTCTTAACCAGTACATTATTAGTATTGCTGAAATGAACAGTTATTTGTTTTATTAGTATTATTCTGAATAAGCTGCAGTAGTTACTGGAACAATCACAATACATCTTCAGATTAAATTAGATGCGTTTAATATGCATTTGTTTTCCAGGTCATGTGGTGCCTGTATATTTCATCTATCATTCAATTCAGCTTGCGTAACAAATCGGCACAGCAGCAAGAACAGCAGAAACCGTCTGGTTAATAAATACACTGATCACCAGAGCACAACCAGAAAAAAAAAACCTCAAATGTCAGTCTGAATAATCACGGTGATATCCCACAGAGACTGCTGATGACTTTAAAAGCAGAATAAAACATTGGTAGAGTAGCACACAGGGGGGGGGGGGTCACCTTAGAAAAGCATGAGCTGTTCTCAACGACAACAACTGCTTTCAACAAACTGCTTTTACAAAATGAGGAAGAAGAGGAGACGTAAATGTTAGTGTCTTAACAGATTATTGTTTCACACATACACACATGAATAGATTTGAGGAAGTAGCAGCCTGTCTGGTCTGTAAGCACCTCAGGAAATCATTTATTTATATATATATATATATATATCATGTAAATATTATGCATATATATATATATATATATATATATATATATATATATATATAAGATGCATAATGTGGTTTAAGGATTTGACTTTTCATGCATAGCAACACCAGAACAGTGCTTTGCGGTGCTGACTTAAGAACTGATTACTTTTCACTTGCAGAGCAGATGAATCAGCAGAAAACACTTACTTTTGTAACTCCTATTTGCTCCTTTCTGAACTTCTCCAACGGCTTGATGAGCAGATCGGAGGCGTTCTGAACCTGGACGGGCAAACACGGAGCGGCCGTTACTGCGGTGCAATTCCACATGCAAAAACACTCACACACACACACACACACACACACACACACACACACACACACACACATAATGTATTGCCTTATGTAGGACACACTCTTTCGTAGATAAACATCAAACATTGTTGAAAGAGTGTGAATGTTAAGTATGGGTGTGGCACTTTCTTAACGATGCTGCTCCTCCTCCACACCATTGTCAGCACAATTTACCAGATGACTTCCGGGTTTATAATTTAGATCCGTATCCAGAAAAGTCAGTCTAACTGGAACTGCTGCACCTGCTGTCACGACTCGATTGCTGTCGTGTACAAGGGTGAATCTTACACTTCCACATTTAGTTTACTATAGTTTACTAGATTATGGGTCCATAAATGTGGTCCACACACGTCTCGGTGCTCGAAAACTCCGGCATAGTGTGGACGCTCAGTGTAAACGTAGCGAAATATATGCGTTTTCAAATGGAAACGTAGCAGTGTGGACGTGGCCAAAGACGGTTAGTTTGCAGTTCATCTGGCTTGGTTAAATAAGGAAAGATGAGGGAAAACTTGTGCGTAACTAAATTATGAAAATAAAGCAAACAACAACAGCAGCACTCTAAAATATTCAGTAGTTACAGTAAAATAAATGTGTGAAATAACAGCATCAGAAGCATTTACAAAAAGGGAACAAGAAACCCGAGAGGGAAACTCGGCCACAGCATCGAGGTGTGTGCATGTGTGTCATTAAAGCACATTTCAACAAGTGTTGATTTTGCATCTTAACAAACAGGAAGTTAGTTATCTGTAACCGAATGTGCCAAACGTTTCCTTTCAAGTGGTCTAATCTTTAGTGCTGGATATGTTGGTGTGGTTTCTAATATCTAAATGAGGGTATAAATGGGATGCAGAGTCAGCGTGGAGGAAGTTGATAACCCACCAGCATCATCCTGTCGCGCTCTACTTCCTGCAGGAGTTCGGCAAACTCCTGGAACGACTGAGCTGGAGGGGGGAAAACACAAACACGATGACCAGAATAAAGACATAGCACATTCTTATCTTAAGTGTCCGACGCAGGAAATACAAGGCGGGGATGTCTTTTTGCTAATTGTGATGTAACGTGTGTATTTATCCACATGGTATTAGTGCAGAATACATACAGGAAAAACCTGCTGGAATATGACATGACGTCTCCTGCAAGTTGTCTAAAAGTTAGTTCATGATTTTGAAAAGTCAGTAAACACAAAGTAGCATTGTCTTACTAATGTTAATTTCATCATCTGTCAGGGAGTCACCGACGACATCGAACTGGAATATGCTGAGAGTCTGGGAAAACTTCTGTACTGCCAGAGAATAGCCTGTAAAAAAAAAAAATGAACATTTACTCCTTTTTGAAACATCTGAATTGAGTTACAAATGCCTCTGTCACAACTACGTTACACAACAACATGGCATATTTATCCTCTAAATACAATACTCATAAGATTCAAGTGCAGGCCAGGATCATTGCTACAGTGCTTTTCTATTCTCTGCTAGGAAAGTCCAAAGTATTAAATAAATCCGTGGCAGGTTTGTATCAGATCAGCAGCAGAAAGGATGCGTTGTATAATATATAATAACATTTTATCCCTGCTTTATTATCAAATCAAAACTATCTGTCAGATCAATACTGTCAGGCTTTTTGCCAGAGGAACTTGGCATACTCCTTAAATCCTTCTTTATTACGCAACAGTTTTAACCTTTCCATCATTTCACATGTTTTCTTCCCCCCCCCCCCCCCCAATCAACAAAATGTGTGTTTAGTTTATTTAGGATTCTTGCTTTAATAGTGCCTTTTTATGAAAGGCTTTTATTGTTGACAAAGTGCAGAACACACGCAGCCTATTTCACAGCAATTACAGCTGGAGATCAGTGTTTCAAATTTAAAAAATAAGCTCCACAGTACATGTGCAGAGAGTCCAGATCATCAGGACTTGAGATAAATATGTGACTTTCAATGAATATCTCTTGGTGCAGTTTACCCCAAACACCAGCACTGGTGACCCACTGGCTATTCTCACCACGCCTACAATGACCCTTTCTGTTTGCGAGGTGAAAAGCTGGTCACTGCTGATTTGGAGGGCACAATGGTTATTGGCAAGTCAAACAACAACAACAACAACAACAACAACAGTGCTGGCCTTCACGGGTGCCACGCTGACCCAAATAAACGCATCTACTGCCTTCTGTCACTGGCTGTGGTCCATACTCTCAGTGGGACAGATGACAGACAGCATCACGCAGTAGAGTAGAGGTGTGTGTGTGTGTGTGTGGGGGGGGGGGCAACACAAGAAAACAGCTGTTGCGTTGTTTTGGGAAACAAAACTGAGCCGCTCATGCTGCACATCTGCACCATGATCCGTGGCCTTTCAGAGCGGGCTGTTTGGTCCTCTCCCAGGGGAGCACTAGCACCTCCCTGAATGAGCCTGTCCCACCCACACTGATCCCGTGGGCCCTTAAAAAAAGGCCCCACTGATGCTGATCCCACGCCTCATCATGCCTCTGTATTCACATGCAATGTGTAACAAAACAAAACGAGAGAGATCGTATTTAAGGATCCTTACCTCTGATCGCAGTGATTACACTGTTGCCGTCTTTTATCAACTCTTTGAGGAATTTGCTCGTCCTCTCCAGCTCCAATTCATAACACTTGAGAGTCTCCCTGAACTCCGGGCTGTCCAGATAGCACTCACTGAACTCCAGAGGAGGATGCCCCATCTTCTGGACGACCGGGGGGTTTCAGACAATAAAGCCACGGAGTTAGTTCTCGTGATCCACGCAGCCTACGCTCGTCTACCGCTCACTGGTCATTGCTGCTCGGTCGAAGCGACTCCACACTCTCTCATCATGGTGTCCGTGGGAGCTTGCAGCAGCCGCTGGTCTCGTGTGAAGTGCACGAAACAGTGACAGGACACGGTGTTGTATTTACTTCCCTCTTTTTCTTCCTCAGACGCGCTATCGAAACCGTAATTTAGTTGTGTCCTGGTCCTCTTTACCACTTTTTTCCTTGTTGCGGTGTCGTGATTAGAAGAGCGGCTAGAATTCATTTGGACGCGTTCGTTTCCTAAATATTTCCCACTTTCCTTAAACCTCACCCGGCCTTTACCTTGGTTTGAAGTCACATTTGATTTTTAAAGTTCGCCGCGCGCTATAATTAATCACTGAATACGCATTGGTGAATGCATATTCTCAAACTGAGGTGTCATACACATCCTTTAGGTCCCACAGCTTTACAAAGAGGGGTAACTCAAAGCTGAATGGGACGCAACCATCTGGCTATGGACTCGCTGAAATCTTCCCCTTTTCCACACCCAGGAGGTTCTTAAAGGGGCTGCTGCACAGTTGCTGTTCACGATGCTGCGTTTAGTGCTGTGGGCAATAAATGGCCAAAACAATGTGGTAATAAAAACTAGGAAAGTGAAGAAAAAAAGAATAGTCCAGTTATTATACAATAATAACAATACATATAATATAATAATCTAATATTAATAAAATAATAATAAATACTAATGTGCGTCTTAAAGACCTTTGATGAAAGCTACGGTAGCACTGTGTTGGAGGAACATGGTTTTAAGTTCAAAGCTTCTCATGATACAGACACACCTGCATGGACACTTAGTCATTAAAGTGCGGGGCCCTGAACATATCACGAGAACGTGATTATTCCACAATGAGACAGGTGACACCTGCATGTGACTGGGTGTGTCACATATAAGAATAAGCACCATGATATCACTGGTGTGGTCATAGGCAGCTTCACCAGACTTACAGGAAACATTTGTGTAATTTAAACTTACACAATGGAAACATTAATGTAAAACTATGTCATCACACAAAAACAATAGTATTAAGGTGACATGACTCAGCTGTCTACCAGTATAGGATTATCAGAGAAATATCAAGATGTCTGTAAATAAAGGTATTGCTCACTTCCTGATTGCAAATGTTATGCAACATTCAAATAATTTGACATACCTGCAGACTTGTTTCTCTCCGCAGAGGCCTGTGTTGAGGTGTTGAGGAATGTGATGATCAATGCTGATGTCACTTTCCCAAGACTGAATTCACTTCTGCAGATGATGGTTACTGACCGCCAGATGTCATCATTCAGTCTGAACGGAAGCAGGGGACCACAGCATTCCGTCAGTTTCAGTTCATTTAGTTAATTTAAATCTTCATTCATTACACATCCATGTACAGGTCCCAATACTTTGGGCCTTCATTTACAAAAACAACGTCAGGAGTTTTCGAAATGTTGCAGAACAGGTCACGAGGGATTTTATATCACCTTTGCATCCCATAAGAATGTTTGCACATTTGGTAAAACCACCTCTCTGACATACGGTCATGCCGTGTAACATGGAGCCCTTTAACCAGTGGTGGAAGAAGTACTCTCATCTTTTACTGAAGTAACGATACAATTAAAGTAGCAATACCACATTGCAGAAATACTCTGTTTACTCAAGTAAAAGTAACAAAAGTATTTGCATCAAAATATTCTTGAAGTATCAATAATGTCCCTTTTCAGATCATAGATATTATATCACAGGATTTGATACATAAATGTGTTCATCACTTAATGTTGAGGCTGATAAAGGTGGAGCTAATTGTAATTGTTTTTCATTTTGTATTAATAATTAAAATATGCAAAATAACTAAATGTAGTGGAGAAAGTACAATATTAAAGTAGAGCTTTGAAGCAGCAAACAATGAAAACTACGCTAGCAAAGTACAAGTACAGAACAAGTACCTCAAAAATTGTACTCAAGGACAGTACTTGAGTAAATATCAACCATCAACCGTCACAATGCCTGCAACTGATTTTAAGTGTTGATCAGATTGACAATGCATCAAACAATGCAGATGAGAGCACACGCACAAACACACACACACACACACACACACAGTGATACACTTAGGAAGACGCATTTATTTCCTGGACATAACCTAACTTCAACCTGAGTCGAACCAAATTGTATTTACATCCCAGAGAGTGAAATCAGATTGTATTGTTGTGTGTGTGGGCATGAAAGTGATATTTTGCTTGCATTTGATATCGTTGATTATAATAGGTTGTTTCTTTCCATTAGGTTTTGATGATTCTGCTTACTGCCAGTTGAGATCACATCTTTCTAGTAGAGTTCAGACTGTTGTTGCCAATAGCTTCAAATCAAGTATGGTCTATAAAGGTGTCCCGCAAGGATCAGTATTGGCCCCCCTTTCTATACTGTATGTACATATAACTATTTTCAAAATCAACATTGCAATGTAAATTTAAACGCCATTAAAAGATGTCAACAGCAGACTCTATCCTTCTTCAGGTCACTGCCTGCTCTTGACAACCTCCAGACCCATTTTATTTATCTGAAGCATGTATGCATTTCAAAGCAGCATGGAGCTTCAATGTTCCCGCTCAGATCCTTACTTTTATTAGAAATATCATAGATACAGTGGAGCATGATAAATACTTGTGTGGATGTTGTGGAAATGCTTCAATACATAAATATTTCTTTTCAAAGTTATGTAGACGTCATTGAACACCCCACTGCTAAAACCGGCGAGCTAAAGAGGTTATTCAGCCTTAAAAAAACGAGCCATTAATCCCACAGGAATACGTCAAACTGTGGTAATGAGCAGGTTTAGTCTGAGGTTAGATATTAGGTGGGCAGCGACAATGTGGATGTAAAGGCTAAGGAGGAAAAATAAAGATGATTATTATGATAATAAACTCTTGTTCTCTTATCTTAAGATTGTATGGCTCATTCTTTGTTTTAGACCTTTATGTTTTCCTCCATATTGCGTCAAAAACAGCCTCCACTTCCCCTGCAGAACACAGCACAATGAGGACGTGAGGACAGACCGCAGTCCCCACACAGATTCCTCAGCTGGGCAGGAATTAAAACGTTTGATCTGAATTCTGAAGCCGTTTGTTTGGCTTCTGTAAATGGGGCCATTGTATGCAAATATCGCGCACAGAAGCATATGACCTCGCCAGTGCAGGGCAGTGGCTAGTGTGAGGGAAATCATTAGCAATGCAAAGTCATGGTGCTCTGATACTCTTGTTCACAGATTGGGAAAAAAAGGATCTGCTAATGTTAACGTAAATGTTTCTGGATGTGCTTTATTCCAAACTACAGCTGACGGTGAGTCTGCTTCATTTCAGATCATGTAGCTGAGGACAAGAAGGGCATTTCTTTCATTGTGTTCAGATGGTTGAATCTGTGTTTATGGGTAGTTTGTGCTTTACTGTTATGTCTTGACTCTGAAGAGTTGGGTAAATGTGTGCATTTACAGTTGGTTACAGAAGAAACTGTGACACTCTAGCATGTTTTTTTTAGATATTTTATAACAAAAGTTGCCTTTCTTTCGGTGATAATCAAACAAAACAGTATTTTGCAGTCCCTGAGTCATGTTTATGATAAGCTGTACAGCTGGTCAAGAAGTGGATTTGTCAGATTATCTGAATCATCATGAGCTTGTAACCAGAGGAGTCCTTCTTTAATGAACATCAAAACACTTTTGGACCACAATTTATTTTCCTGAGGAGAATTAAGAGTATTAGACACCGTTATGTTGGGTGCAGATGCCCACCTTGTGCTACACCATGGTGACTGGTGAAAGCATGTCACATGACACATGGTGCCAGACTTCAGTGTTGCACTTTTAAGGGGCCTGCCAACTGCAGAGGGGGGCAAAGAGCCATCCTTCTTCTCTGGATTCACATTCATGCAAAACCAGCAGGTCAACATTGTCCTCTACGCTGTCTCCTATGCCTCTTACGCCTCCTGCTGAGCCGGGTAACAACTCTGACATTTGTACTAGACTGGACATTCAAGCATGTTAGGAACTCAGGGCAACCAGTAATGATCAGCACAGAGTAGATAAAACATTTTTTGCATGATTTGTAGGCTTGAAATTAATCCTGAATTTGAAAAACTAAATTGATGGAAAGAAGTCTAAAACTGGAAGTATGATTAATTTTTATTCAAGCATCCAAAGTTCACTTTTGAGTGTATACATTTATATTAAGGTACAGTATTATGTGGACTACTATGTAAATACTAAATCTGCTCAAGTTGTGTTTGTAAGTTTGCTTCTAAATACTTGAAAAATATTTCTAGCTTCTTTAATAATCTTTCAATGTTTTGAGTCTCTGGTTGTCACTGATATACAACTGAAGATTGGAAATTGAACCTGCAACCTCTTTACTGTGAGGCCACAATGACTATTTTCACTGTTGATTAATCTGCCAATTATTTCCTCGATTATTCTGTTAATCGCTTACAAGAAAATATTTTAAAAATAGCACAAATTCCTCAAGTCCTAGGTGACCTATTCAAATCACTTGTTTTGTCTGACCACCAGTCTGAAGATATTAGTTTATCATGTAAGACAAAGAAAAGCAGCAAATCCTCACAATTGACAAGTTGGAACTATAGTGAATGTTCAGTAGGCTATTTTACTCAAAATAGTAACTGCTTGATTTTCTGTCAATAAACAAATTTATTCATCATCTTATTATTGCAGCTTTAAAATCTACTGGTTTCTCCTCACGGCAAACAAACATTCTCAACGCTCCTCATAATTCTCCATTTTTTTAGGAAATGTTTGATGCGCAAAAATGAAATTTTATTTTTCAACAATTAGTTTTTAATGTATCTAGTAATCAGTAGCTGATAATAACGAACAGGAACACATTCTAACCTTAAGATTCCCTAATCTTACCTCAGCTAATGATGCAGTCAACACATTTACACACTACAAAATTATACACAGGTATTATTATACACCAGTTAAACTTTTAATAAATGGCTGTACTGTTATTCCAGTTACTTTTAAAAATGATCATGAAGATGCACTGATGCATTTAATGTGGGAATGTTTCTTTTGTTTCTCCTTTTTGGAAATGAGTAGTCAAAAGTATTTTTGAGAGAATGGTCGCATCTACCCATCTCTGTTTATTAGGAACCAGGTCTCTTGGACTTGCACTGACTTATCGGCACTTCAGGGATTGGTCTCCACTAGTGGAAAAGTCAGACAAAGCCTGATTTTTCTAAAAGGTTCGGATTAATGAAAGACATTGCCTCTTTTGATTCTAAAGTAGGAAGAAAGTACTCCTATTTAATACTGTGAAAATGTTGTTTTTATGTTATAGTTTTTTATAGTATGCATCGTATTATTCGTTTTTTTCTTTTCTTTCTGTTGGCTAATTGTATGTGCCCAACAGGTTCTGTTTATTCTGCTCCATGTTCCTCAATGATGTACTGTAGGTCTTGTGTTGCATGTTATTTTTGCAGTGGAAAAGATTCCATTACAACAAAAACCTAACATATTTAGCACAATATTCTCTCAGCTGTTGACAATTTGATATATTCTCCATCAGACCAGGAACCAAAGATGAACTGGGCGTCATTTTATGCTGTCATCAGCGGTGTGAACAGACACTCCACAGGCATTGGTCGCATCTGGCTCTCTGTCCTGTTCATTTTCCGCATCCTGGTTCTGGTAGTTGCAGCGGAGAGCGTGTGGGGCGACGAGAAGTCCGGATTCACCTGCAACACCCAGCAGCCGGGCTGCAACAGCGTCTGCTACGACCACTTCTTCCCCATCTCCCACATCCGCCTCTGGGCGCTTCAGCTCATCCTGGTCTCCACCCCTGCCCTGCTGGTCGCCATGCATGTGGCCCACCGCCGCCACGTCGACAAGAGGCTCTACAAACTATCAGGGCGGAGCAACCCCAAAGACCTGGAGCAGATAAAGACCCAGAAGATGAAAATCTCTGGGGCTCTGTGGTGGACGTACGTCATCAGCCTGATGTTCCGCATTATCTTTGAGGTCACCTTTATGTATCTGTTTTATATGATCTACCCTGGTTACAAGATGATCCGGCTGGTGAAGTGCGACTCGTACCCCTGTCCCAACACGGTGGACTGCTTCGTGTCGAGGCCCACAGAGAAGACTGTCTTCACCGTGTTCATGCTGACTGCATCAGGGGTTTGTATTCTGCTCAACATTGCAGAGGTGGTCTTCTTGGTGGGGAAGGCCTGCAGTAAGCACACTGCTGGAGACTCGACTGTGGGGGCTTGGATCCAACAAAAGCTCTGCTCGTACTAATAAAACACACAGATTTCATACTTGCACAAAGGGACATATATATGTGACATTGGATCCAAGCGACAGCCATTGATTTAACTTGTGAGTAAAGTGCATATAATATACTGTATGTTGCAGTTTGACATAGGATGATTTATTATTTATCCAGTGGTTTATAATCTCAGTGACAAAGCATTCAATGCCAAAGTCACCAGACTTAAGCTAATACCCCACAGGAACTACCGTTTACATATTCTGCTATGAACCTAAAGACTGTATACAGCAGCACTTTGTACTGACATGATGTAATATCTTGATGTTAGGCCAATAGACATCAATTAAGTAACATGTTGTGACGAAATATGCCAACTGATCACATTATAGGCTTTCATTGTCATGTACGTTGATATCCACAGTGGTGGACATTTGTTTGAACTTGAAATGAAAATATTAAACTATGAAATGTGACAAATGTTATTTAAAATAATAAGAGAAGTGTGCCGGAAAATACAATGTAGTAGTATTTTGGGCGTTGTTATTTATAATATTCTATTATTTACATTAAATATGATCACAAACATCACGTGTTTGCCTAATCACCATGGACTGAGTCTAATGGACTGGAAGATTTATCTTTTTCTTTTCTTGAGTTATGAGAGAGATGTTGTACTAATACATGGAAAACATGTAAAATCATTGAGTGTTTGTTGAATACTGATGTTTTTTGATTTACTATTAATTGCTTAACATGTTATATAATCCTTGTGCTTATGGGACATTTTTGGCTTTTTAATAATTTTTGCAAAGGCGTGAGTTGTTTTTTTTCTTGAATTTTGGAAGATCGACCTCATAAACCGACAAAAAGGTAAAAGGTCACCATTCAAACCACGATTATTGATCCCACGGCCATTACAGCATAACATTGTGTATTCTATTATAGCAGATCTAGAGCCCTGGTTTTTAAATTGTACTTTTTTTCTGATGTACTTGCCCTGCAAAAACATAATGCAGTGCATCAAAATCAATGTTGTATTTGACATTATGTGAAAAAAATCACACTGGCATTTATAATACAGAGAATAATCATTAAAACACAACAGTGGCGTAATGTAAAAAAAACAACAACAACTGGCATTTAACTAGTGGAAGTTTTTTTAGAGTTTAAAATGCAGTATTTTCTTAAGAAAACAATACATAGACTAATACAAAACGAATCCCTCTCAATCATTATGACCAACATGTTGCAGAGAGGGTCTCTGCCTGCATTTTCTTAGTTTGCTGTGTGCTCTTACATTGCAGTGTGTTTTTATGTGCTTCAGTCGAGGGGGGGAGACGAAGAGCAGGGAAAACTGCTCTTCGTCTCCCCCCCCCCCTCCCTGCTTCCTGCACGGTTGTGCGGAGGTGTGGGTGTGTTTATTTGTGCTTTAGAAACGTAACCACCATGAAACAATCTGGAAAATACGATTTTATTTCTCTGCTTTGGTCTCGCTAACGCTGCTCCCTCTCTTCATTCACTCTCTTGCTCGACCACTGCTTTGCTTCCATTTAGTATTCAGAAAATAATTCAAATATTGTGTTATTTTCATAACAACAGAGGCATCGTGTAAAGAACCTGCAATTTTAAAGGGTTACAATTCTGAAAATGAATGAATATTTGGTGGTGATGATCAGGGCTGAAGTTGGCTGAAAGACTTCATTTTGTGAAAGTGGAAATTAATATACATGTATAATTTTCTGGCAGTTTATTAATGTGGACATTTTTGCAAGCAACATTTTTTTCTTTAAAGTGAGGCACAAGGGTTAAATTGATTCATTTTGAAGCTGGATGTTTATGTCTTCAGTACACAGAAGAATAAAATCAACCACAGTTTGTGTAATTGTGTAATTTCTGCTTTCTTTACAAATCAAAAATGTGATTTACAAATGCTAAAATGACTCTTGTGAATTGCCTGTGGCTTCTTAAATTGTCATTTGACTCCAATGGGAGTGCTCCAACATATAACAGGGGAACATTTTTCTGGTGTACGGTATGTTGATATATTCTGAAATTACCGGAGAGCAGCACCTTTTTGCAAGAAGAAATGAATCTGCACTTACAGTTGTGCCACTTTCAGAAACGTGAATGAAACGTCATCACACATTTACAGTAGTGGCGACGTTACCATCTTTAGGCCAGAGATCTTCGGAGCCGCGTTGCCACCTGTGAGGAAACGTCTTAAGCGCCTTCTGAAGACCAGAGTGCAGAGTTTTGGGTTATCAATAGCATGGCCATGTAAGGGGTCAGTGTGTGGGTGACAATGGTTGACCCTGCGGACAGCTGGACCTGAATTGACCGAGCATGGGGGCATTTCACACCTATCTATAGTGTTCAGATTGACCTGTAGCATATTAGCAGCACTGCACCAAAAAAACAAATTCCTCCAATCTGGTATTCCTGTCTGTGACTAGTTAGTGGTGACTGTGCGTTGTTACATACGTATATGTGGGGCATCTCAGTACCACCCACACGTTTTGATGAAGAGATTGGCAAAGTTAGTTTATAGAAGTTCATCAGAAGGAGACGGATTTTGATGATTATCTTTTTTTATAGCTTATTGGTTGAACCATTGCACAGCGTTTTGTTCGCCATGCACACAACGTTTTTTTGCAGAACCTTTATACAAGATCTATTTGTAAAGAGGACTTTCTACAACCTAAACGCACGAAAGACAATTAAATGATATTGTGTAGTCCTCTCAGCCATCTAACTGTAAGGGAAGTCATTGTTTATAATTTTACATTCCTATATTTCAATTTTAAGTGGGGTTTTAAGATAAATATGTGTGTGTGTGTGTGTGTGTGTGTGTGTGTGTGTGTGTGTGTGTGTGT